TGACCTGACTGAAACCTATATGTTTATATTTTGTTCTATTTTATAAAATAGTTTTAACTTGTGTGTTATGCCAATGCTTCTTTCCCACATATCCATCCATCCAGCTAATACCATTAGGTATGCAGCTGGGGAGTAGCGAAGCTTAGAAAAAACACCTGATTCAGTGAGGAACAGCTGCCTTGCATAATATTAAAAATGTCAAATATTTTAAAGCTCACCAATGAACACTGAATATCTGGCTCATTTTAAAACTTTGGACGGAACAGTTGGTTGGTCCCCTGCTTCCTGTCCTTATGCTAAGCTAAGCTGCTGTAATTACTTCCTGGCTCTGGTTCCATACTTAATGGACACAAGAGTAAAATTGATATTTTCATTTAAAGATAAGTGCAGCACAGTATAGATATAAATCAGGCCAAGGCCAACATTTCTGCTGGGGATGGAAGGACATTTTTTTTTTTCATTAACTCCACAGTTTATAAAGAGGCTCTGTTGTGCTTTTGAAGGTTTTTCTTTCCTGTAGTGTGTTCTATAGGTTTTTGTGCATGTAAATGGTCTGCAAAGGCTAAAATCCCAAAGTTCCCACCAGAGGGAGTTTCTCTCCCACTATAATTACACTATTACTACACTTTCCTTTTGGCCAATCAGAGCAGACTTGGCTCTGGTTTCAGACAGAGGGTGAAAAGAGGTGCTGCAGCTCAGGCAGTATGAGAAAAATAAAGAGCTTTTTGAACATTAAAGTATGGACACAGTAGAGGCACAAAATACAAATATGAACCTGAAAGTGAGCATAATATGTCCTCTTTTATTATTTGAGGTTTCTATTCAGGCAGAAATTTCTCAGAATAATGTTCCCTTTTTGTTCTCAGTTATTATGCTGAGCTCACTGCCCTGAAAAGTGAGTACGGGCAAACAATATTCAGGACTTAACCGCTGCCAATGCCATTCTTTTAAAGCTTATAAAAATCTAAGAAGAATTTAATATACATGTAAATCAAAAATAATAACGCAAAGATCACATTAAGCATTATTAAATGATCTATCAGAAAGTATCAGGTATCTTTTGGATAGTGTATTTGTTTTGAGACCGTGGATGTGTGGTTAGAGTCTCTATGACATCACAAAACCGTTGTATTCGGCCATAACTCAGGAACTATGATTTTCTTTTTACAGATATAGATGGTAAAGCGAAAATCACACCTGCTTATCCCCCATCTCTCTTCCTCACTTTGTCTCCTCTCTTCTCCTCACTTCTTTTCCTCTCCTCTTCTTCTCCTCTTCCTCTCTGACATCTGACTGATTGCTTCATATAGAAACCTGCCAGAAAATAGAATAACAGTGATGCCTAAATTAAGTTGATACACCATGATCAGAGCTCCATTCAGTCATTGTGAAATAGGCCTAAATGATGCTTTAGATGTACCATCAAACACATAGAAACGTTGACGACACACACACAAACACAAAGACATACCCACACCCACACACACACACTTTTTAAATGAATCTTATTCAGCCAACTGTGGAATTGTGTTGGAAGGTAGATTATTCACGGAGAATCGACTACAATTTCACGGCTTTCTGGAAATAATTAGCGTGACATTTATTCAGGCTTTATAATTGGTTAAGACTCCGGACCCTCACCTCTAATAAAGTTGTCATTGAACCTTTAATGCTGCTTGCTCCCATGACAGCAAGGGTATATTGCAGCCCCTGCTCGCGGCGGTCAAATCATTTTGAAAGAGGATAATGCAGCCAGGTTTATGGTGCGTGTGTGTGTGTGTGTGTGTGTGTGTGTGTGTGTGTGTGTGTGTGTGTGTGTGTGTGTGTGTGTGTGTGTGTGTGTGTGTGTGTGTGTGTGTGTGTGTGTGTGTGTGTGTGTGTGTGTGTGTGTGTGTGTGTGTGTGTGTGTGTGTGTGTGTGTGTGTGTGTGTGTGTGTGTGTGTGTGTGTGTGTGTGTGTGTGTGTGTGTGCGGTGAGTAGTTAAGTAAAACGCAATCCATTCCCCATCTGAGCACTAATGAAACCTGCCCGTCGTGAGATGATGAGACAACTTCTTAAAGATTTTTTAAAGAAGCCTCTCAGATGTTTCAGTCCATTTAAAAAGCATTAGTTGGCAGACAGGTATCTCACTTGAAAGTCATTAGAATCAATCATCCTGTGCTCTCACTCAACACTCCTCTTCATCACTTGCTCTCACTCCTTCATCTTGTTAAATGTTGTGTCTTTTTTCCTCTGCGCTCTCTCCTCTCCCTGCTTTTTGTTTCTGATCACACTCATGTCTGGGTATCATTTAGTTTATTCCCTCACCTCCTCTCTCGTCTGTTTCTCCTTCACCTCCGTTTCTTACTAGTGGCTGTGAAATGATCTGCCGCCATCTGAATTTCGACACTTTTCACATCTCTCTGTCCATTAGGAAACAGGGCACCGTGTGTTTTTGTTGCACACATATAGCACTCAGTTCTCTGCCTCAGTGTTACACATGATGCTCTACTCTGTAGCTAATGCCCCTTTCACACCAACGCGGTTCGGAGCTGGAGCTTGAAAAGCACAGTTTTTTCCTGTTCACACCGCAGCGGAGCTGCCTCTAAGCTCCGGAATCCGGTTCGTTTCAAGCACCAAAAAGTTGTCGGTCTAGAAAGCAAGCACCGCATACGTCACGCTTACGTCGGAGGCGGGGGCAGGGGCAGGGGCGGGATCAACCTCTAACAACAACAAAAAGCCTAACCCTGTGTAATGTTGTTTTTATAGGCAATCATTTAAGCTTTGTTAGTTTCAGGTTTAATATGTGCAATAAGTTCATTTCAATACGTTTTGCAATAAACATTGAACCAGTCCGGCCCTCGACTAGTACCGATTTTTTTTATTTTGGCCCACTGTGTAACTGTGTAAGAACTTTTGAATGTAGCATGTAACGACTGTAAAGTTGGTAGTAAAGTCGTCCCATTTGTTCCATTTCCTTTCGACAGAGCAAAACCAAAACGAGTAGCGCTTCAATACAATCGGCCATTGTTGTTGTTGTCGATGTGAGGGGTTTCCGCGCGGTTTGGCTTTATGAAGCAGGCACGCAAGCGGTTACGTCATGACGCAAACGATGACGCAATGACGCAGCACCAGTCGGGCTCTGAGCGGTGTGAACAGAGCGGGAGCTGAACCGAAGAACCGGTTCCAAACCAGAAAAGCTCTAGCACGGAGCTAGAACGGGAAAAGCCTTGGTGTGAAAGGGGCATGAGTGGTTACAAAAAAGCTTCCAGTGTGGATTCAGTGCTTCTCAATTTAGATTTTCGCCCCTTTTAACAGCCAGTTGACACTTTGGACAGAAAAGGTTGTGAATATTAGACACGTTTTGCATTAAATCGTACATATTCTGCTCATTTTCAGGTTCATATTTGTATTTCTGCCTCTACTCTACTGTGACATGTTTCCATGCTTTAATGTTCAAAAAGCTCTTTATTTTTCTCATACTGCCTGTGCTGCAGCACCTCTTTTCACCCTCTGTCTGTCACCAGAGCCCAGTCTGCTCTGATTGGTTAGCAGGCCAGCTCTGTTGTGATTGGTCAACCTCTTAGAGATGTCCCGCCCCTTAGGCTGGAGCCACACGGAGACAATAGCGAAAACGAACCGAATTCGATATCAAAAAAGTATTGCGTCCACACGAGACCGCTCGACCCACTGGAGTCGCTGTAGTACATATGCAGGGCCTGTAAGTGGCGCTGTATTTCCACCATAAAATACACCAAAAGCAGCGAAGAAGACCCCCCGAGCATGGTTGCCATGGTTGCCCTTCTGTTTATTCTCCGCGGTGGATTTAGCAACATGTAGTTCATGTAGTTCTCCATGTCCACTTGTTGCTGATGGTTGTGGTAGAGGAGCTGTAGATTTTGCACTAACATCTGTAGCATGGTCAGTAGTCAGTGGGGCGAGTGTGTGGGAGAAAACTCCCTCTGGAGGGAACTTTGGGATTTCAGCCTATGCAGACCATTTGCATGCACAAAAACCTCTTTAACATATCAAATATAATATAGTCTATACAAAAATAATATTTTTTTTATAAATGGCTAACCATGTGTGGATTATGACGGTCTGCAGGCAGTTACTAAAATAAACCATATTTTTATTTTCTGTACATCAACATTTGTGCATTCCTCCCCCCCACAAGAATAATTTAACTTTTTATTTATTTATTTTTATTTCAGACAGAAATAGATGTAAACCATGTAATAGTGTACACTCTTTGATTTTTAAAACAACTTAAAAGTAGACAGAATGGATAAACATATTGATTGTAAGATAAGGACACAACGTTTTTTTTAAGTCTATAAATCAATCCTGATATATGTAGAGAACATTTGAAAACAACTTAAAATAACATGAATATAGAAAGTCCAGGTATTGACTGTGGTCCATCAGTAAGTCATTTGTATTAAAGCTTATGCAAAGGTAGGGGGGGGAACTGCACATAAATGAATACAGCTATTGATTTTAAATGTACTATCCAGAGGTAGTCATATGTCTTTGTAAAGGGCTGAATTATAAGACAGGCACTAAACTTACTATACTATAATAAAGCCATATTTTAATTTGATGTACATCAATATTTATACATTTCTCCCTCTAACAGGAATGGTCCAATTTGGATTTCCATATGGATTTAGATTTAAAATGTTTTTGTACCTACAAAATTCAATAAATCATCAACACTTTCACTGTCTGCGAACATAAAAATGTTTCTTTGATGTTGTTGTTGCTGATGAGGCTTTAGAGGATGTCATTTCCACCCACTGTGAAAAATACTGTGATGTGTATCTACTTTTATCTCAATCTTAACAGAACACCTTTGTACTGTGTGTGTGTGTGTGTGTGTGTGTGTGTGTGTGTGTGTGTGTGTGTGTGTGTGTGTGTGTGTGTGTGTGTGTGTGTGTGTGTGTGTGTGTGTGTGTGTGTGTGTGTGTGTGTGTGTGTGTGTGTGTGTGTGTGTGTTTGTGTTTGTGTGTGTGTCTCAGGTGGCAGTGACATTTGCAGTGGGGTCAGAGGTGGGCCTGCAGAGCAGCAGCGACTTCAGTCAGATGGGGAAACCTTTCCTTATGGGCACGGTGGCTCTGGGTGAGAATCCGCTTTCTAAAATAAATATTACTTTCTTCTTTTTTTTCTTTCTGTCTTCATCTTTCACCTTTCTGGCCTTCGGATTTATTTATTTTTCCAGTAAATGCTCCTTCGTTCTACAGTGCTTTGATTTCGAGCCTCTGAATGCCCATGTTAGGAAAACATTAAACCAGCCACACAAAATCTGAGTTTTAGATTCAATGAGAAGAAAAAACTGTAACTTCTAAATTGGAATCCTACTTAAAGGACAGGAAACACTTTGTTTCTATAGGTTACTACACATCTGGGTTTACAAATATGACATGTGGGGCTCCTCATGGCTCCATCTTGGGGCCTCTTCTTTTTAACATCTACATGCCTCCACTGGCTCAGATAATGAAAAACTACAAAATAAGTAATAATGCATTGAACAATGCAATGACTGGATGTGTCAGAACTTGATTCAATTAAATAAAGATAAAACTGAGGTAATGGTTTTTGGAGCCAAGGAGGAACGAATTAAAATCAGCGCTGAGCTTCAGTCTGCAATGTTCAAAACAACAGATAAAGCCAGAAATCTAGGTGTAGTCATGGACTCTGACCTGAGTTTCAACAGTCACATTAAAACAGTTAACTAAGTCAGCATACTATCACCTAAAACATTTGGTATTTCAGAGACAACATACAACATATAACCTTTCCATATTTAGGTGTAATATATAAGGAAGAAAAGCGCTATTTTTTTAAATTTGAACTATTTCCTGCCATAATCAGTTAACTTGCATAATTTGGAATTAAACCCTCTAAAATGTTGTCTGAATAACAAATATAATGCTGCTAATCAAACCTTTTTGTTCCTCTTTTCATTAAGTCACCATCTATTATTGTTAGCTAAGAAACATTGTGACAAAACCAAAATAAATACATAATAGAGTGGTGCCGTGACGAGTCCTAAAACCCTCAAGTGAGTTAGCATTTTAACACTTACGGTTCCCTCGGCTCAGAGTCAACGGGATTTCTCCATAGGATTTTGGAAAATAGCTTGAAATATGGTCTGTGGTTGACACAAATATAAGGATCACCTTTTGTTCTACGACATTAAATACATCAGCAGTGACCCCACTGGTGATTTTTGAAGAGTTTACGTGTGTCTGAAAAACGATGGTTGTTAACAAGTGGCTGAATAGGACTACAGAAGTTGTCAAGGACGTTGTACGTCATTACGCCGAACACGTAAACACTCCCGCTAAGTTTTGTTTGCCCTGTTCTGCTTGAAAGCAAGTACCTGCACTCTTGCAAACTGTTCAAACAAACGCTTCAACTTGTACAATTTTGAATCTGTATTTTTGAATATGGATCTTAAGTTGGCGTGAGGTTCAAGTCGTGCGACCCTGCTGTACTCGGCTGTAGCTCGTTTATAGCATAACGTTAGCATTTTGCTTCTGGCGATTAGATTTACGATTCGAAAATGATAAAAGTAGGGTAGACATGTGGATATTATCCGGCTGAACAAAACGTGCATTTATCAAACAGGTATTTTTCCAAAATCCTATGGAGAAATCCCATTGCTTTTTTGTATACGTCATCCCTGCACCACTCTATATCCTTAATATCATACATTTTAAAGCAATATTTTGGATCAAATAGCATTTCTCTTCTTGAAAGGATCTTATATGAATTGTAAATATTGATATCAAGCTACCTGTCGCAGCTTCTTCCCAGCAGAGATGAGATTAATGCAGAATATGCATTTATTCAAATTCCTTTAGAAATGATACAATGCCTTCTCCGCTGCTGGACGACAGTGGTAGAGAGTGACAGTGAATTGAATTGAGATGTCTATGGAATATTAATCTCTGTTTCCTCTTACCTTCGCAATGTTAAACCTTCCAAAGTCAACAAGGCCTTTTACAGTACATTGAAAATGTTTATTATTTATTATCCCTGTAAGTTATGTTATTGTCGCCTCACTGTGTCAGTCTGATATGCATATTATCTCTTCTGCTATCATATTGCTAGCACTATCTGTGCAATACTTGTAGCTCTTGCCAATTTATCTGCTATCTTTGCTCTTCCAAAACCATTCAATTCATGGGGAACATCCGCGTGGGAGCAACTTTGGGTCAAACTTTGTAATGTGATTAAATTGCGTTACAATATTTTAAGTTTGCCCCTCCTCCTTGGTTTAAACTTTAAGAGTGTTTGGAGTGATTGACAGTTGAAGTTTGTTTAGTGCAATAAACATATTTATTGCTGTGTATACAAAGGGCAATATATATTAAACTTTGGCGATTAGACCCCATCGTGCTGTGATAGATTTAGGGGGACGAGAAGCCGACTAGGAAAGGTGAAAGTCTTCATGAAAGAACTTGCACTTCATGAAAGAACTTGCACGAGCTTCATCGAGTGAAAGCAAACCCAAGATTAACATTGTTAATGAGCTGTACCCACTTGGCATTTTACCTTGCTATATTTGCAGTGTCCATTTTCTTAACTTCTTCTTAGTTGTGAGAGGGGTCATTTTTAAATTACTCTGTCAATACATTTTGTCCCAATTTAAAGGGCTGTTGTGAAGTTTTTGACCTCTTTGGGATGTTGAGTTGTCTATGTGTGGATCTCCTGCAGAAATACGATAATATGATAATACTTTAATGGTCAGATCAAGTCTTTATAGCTTTATACATATATATAATGTAAATTATCATATACCAATCTTCTCTAAAGTATAGTAATGCTGTAGATACCCATGATGAAAACATGAGCGATTTTATATATTAAATGGTTACATTTCAATTTTATTATGTCGATGTTGGAAAATGTAAAGTCTGTATTCGTAGAGTTTGTCTTATTTGCTTTAAAGGGGACCTATCATGCAAAATGCACTTTTGTACGTCTTTTATACATGAATACGTGTCCCCGGTGTTCCAGGGAACTCACCAAGTGTCAGAAAACACAACCCTCTCTATTTTCCTCCATACCCAAATCTCTAAAAAAGGGGCTGCAACGGATCTGATAAAAACTGATCCAGATTTGAACACTGTCCTGACGTCAGGACGGTGGCGCTACGGCTATTGGGCCAACTCTCCACCTATCAGGGGAATGTGGGGTTGGGCCACGGCCGGCCATTGCCGCTCGAAAGCGCTGGAGACGCTGTAGTACATATGCCAGGCCTGTAAGTGGCGCTGTAGTTTGCCATAAAAGCAGCGAAGAAGACTCTCTCCGGTTAGTCCACCAGTAGATGACAAACACCCACCTCTCCGCCTCTTCCAAGGAACGAGGGGACCGTGCGGCAGAGTTTCAGTTTCAGTTACTTTCGCCGGTCAAGATGTCCGTTAAAGTTGAAATCTTCCGGACAAAATTAGAAAAGTGCCGGTCAAAGGTCTTCTTTGTTATTTATTGAGCTTTAAAACAAATGAATAACAACTCTATAGCCGCGTTCACACCAAGTACTTTCCTGTACTTAGTTCCGGCACTAAGAGCCCCGGCGCTTTTAACCCCAGGGCACTTAGTACAGATCGCGTTCACACCGGAGTACTTTTCCCTGAGGGAAGATTACGCAAATGAGCCGCTGACGTCACTTCTTCTTCTTCTGCGTTGGCTTTACTGGCAGGCCACAAACGACTTCACGGCGAGTACAGTAGGTGGCGGTAAGCACCTTAAAGTTGTTTGCAATCCGCTACAAAACAAGAGAAGAAGAAAAAGAAAAACTTCCCGCGTATACTGTCTGTTGTTTACCTTCCGACCTCAGACATGGATGGATGATGGAGATGGAGTCGACTGAAGTTGTGCTGTTTGTGCTCATGTTATACAGCTTTGTAACTTCGTTAATGCGGCCAGAGCCTGAGCCTATTAGGCGTCCGACAAAAATCCGGAGCCGCCACACGTCGAATGCTATAATCGCAAAGTTTCTTCAGCATCAAAGGCAGTTCAAAAGCTGTAGGAAAAGGATTGGCCGACGGAAAGCACACATGATTGCCATGTTTCACCGTAGGATGGCTGATACAGGATCTCTTTAATCGCCATGTCGGTTTATGTCAGTGGTACATGTCAGTAAACATTGTCAATATAAAATAAAGTGTCAGTTGTACTATATAATAACAGTAATAACAATATAAAATAAACTGTCCCAGGTGTAGGGAGTCTCAGCAGCAAACCCACCTTAATGATATATATATATCTTCCTGAGACCCACTGCATCCGTCTGCCATAAACACTATGCAAACATACATGTTAGTTTTGGCCCATAGTGGACTCCATGTTGTGTGAAATGGGGGGGAATTAAAAGTTTAGGTCAAATAATATTTAAAATGATATAAATTATCATATTTGTGTATGTGCCGCTGCCATTCCCCCACAAGGTTGCAACATTGATGATAAATAAATGACAAATAAAGCTTTGCCAGTTTATAACCGATGAAACATGATGGTATCACAATAATCACTTACATGTGATGTATAGGATGCTACACAGGTCACTAAAGATAAAGTGTCAGGAGAAATAAGCTTAATCGCCATGTCGGTTTTCTTTATTGCACTCTCAAGACATAACATTAAATAGAACAATTTTAAATGTAAATAAAGTGTCAGTTGTACATGTCAGTAAACATTATATATAAAATAAAGTCATAACAGTAATAACAATATAAAATAAACTGTCCCACTGGTGTCCCAGTGTCAGGCACAATGCAACTATCTAGGCACATAAAGATCTTTAAAAGATACTTGCAGTTAATATTTTGTAATGTTGCATTTATGCAGTGGATTTAACAGCTGACATTTTTGAGCACTCAAAAACTGGTCCATCAATCTCATGAACACATTGTGTTTTCTTTTCCACAATTTAAAAATAAGTGTTGTTTCCCCAAATGTTACTTTTCAAAGAGGTGCTCTAAGCATCCACTTTGTCTGCATGCTCATAAGTGCTAACACTACAAACCAGCCCTGTGCACTAGGCCTGTTAAGTGTGTTTATTCACATTTTACTGAGAATTTGCTGACATTTAGACATTTGATGTCTGAATGTGTGTATGAGATGGGCCATTTCAGCTCCCAGTACTCCTAACAAACCCTTGATGATTTTATCCAGAGGCAATGTTAGAACAAAACACGACTGACCTAAACCTGACCCCATTTTCAACTCTGCTTCCAGGCATGTGCTTTATTTGCCTCGGTAATAATGATGAATAATACTTAATAGACACATTAAGTGTAAGTGTAATATTCTCAGCAGCATACACACCGTAGTGCAAAGTTGTGTGTCGTGTGTCAGTATTTACAGAAACTATACCAAATAAACAGTTATTAAATGCAGTTTGTCGCTCATCCTGCCGCTCCTGGCGCTGCGCCGACGCTTCCTCATGGCGCAGCGCCCACACTTCATCCTGGTGCTGCTGGCGCTCCATCTGCTGCTTGAACACTTCTGCCTGGCGCTCCATCGAGGTGAGCATCTTGTCCTCCATTTCCTGGGCCTTGGTGAACAGCACCATCTGATCTCCACGCAGCGACTCATTCACCACGGCACGCCGGTCCTCCAACGCCTGGGCGGTGTCAAAGAAATTCGCATCCCGTGTCCGCTTTCCTAAGAGGGGAAAATAAGCAAGATACAAGATCTGTTTAGTCGCCATGTAGTTTTACAACATACTAGGAATGTATTTTCACAAATAGAATTAAGGTTTCACAAATCTGAAACTGTGTTCTAAAGAATCTTTTGACTCTGGGATAATCCAGTCCAAATAAATCGGCTATGCAGCAATTTAAGAGGTTCAAACACGGAGGATTGTTCCTTTTTGAAGAGTGCTTCATGTATGCTTGAACTTTGTCTAATGTTGTTAAAGTTTTTCTTACCGGAAGTCATGTGACCTCTAGCTCTAGTTTTCACGCTGTTTCATAATTGTACCAAGAAGGAAATAAACATAAACATGATGCGTAACGTTCTTTCAAGACAAAGTTACAGTGTGTGTACCTTTGCGAAGCAAATTACAGAAACACTGCACAGTTATTCACAAGTCAAAACGTTTTCATAGCGGCCGAGAATATCTAGCTAGCTAGATGTAGCTAGCTTGGGGCCGGTGTTAGCCTATTCAGTCTAGCATGGCTAGCTTGATCTACTGAGCAAATAAAAGTACATCTGAGACCATTATTGTGCAGATTAAAACCCCAGTGCATGTAGCTGATTTTACCTTCGTCGTGGTAGTCATCGTTGGCCACTGAATCCGCCGTTTGTAGTCCTGCCCGAGTTTCTTTATTTTTAGCCGGTGTGTGCCGTGGGGCTGTGGACATTCCCAGGTCGAGTGAAAGCTACTGAACTGGCTTCAGTAGCATTCCCTGGGTCGCGTCCTAGGCGTAGATCTCCAGAAGCGCCGACACCTCCTCATCATTTCTTGATGCTTGCCATAACTGCTTTCAAAAATAAACCCAACGCTCCGTTTTTGTAGCGAGGAAAAACAATGGCGTCTCCACACAACTTTTTCACAGTTGTACGGGCGTGGTTTGCAATTCGCCCAGCCAATCAGCACTGGGGCACTTTTCACCGACAGAAAAGTACGCTCTCCCAGCGGGCTCTAAAAATGGGGGTAAAATTACCCGAGATTAAGTACGATTTTTGGTGTGAACGCGACATAAGGGGTACTCACGGAACTAAAACGCGAAAAGTACGGTGAAAGTACTCCGGTGTGAACGCGGCTTATATAATAAAACACGGAGGACGGAGATCTCTTTTTCTCCCCCTCTTCTGACAGCCCAGCAGCTGATCAGAGCACGGCTCACCTCTCCTGCAGGGGGGCGTGGTCAGCAGAATCAGACCCGTAGACAGCAAACAGCACATAGAGCGAAATGAGGCATGGCTAAAATGCATGATCTGTTTGGTATTTTGAAAACAGAAACGTATAAATATACCTTATATAGGTATGGCCCTACAATATATCATTTAAATATAGCATGATAGGTCCACTTTAAAATGACAAATTAACTTCTTTTTTTTATTACACGAGTGCATTTTGTATTATCTTTTGTTTGGTTCTAGCACAGGGTGATTATTCAAACTTTATTTTTAACTACAATGTTGGTTAAACGATTACGAGAACGAAGATTTCAGAAATAAAATGATTATTGTGCTGCATTCAACCTGTCACACATCATCATCACATTGACCTGCAGTTGTGTTTTTGTCCTAACAGGAGGGATTGTAAACGTGATGCCGCTGCTCTACTCACGAATCTCTCACAACAGAACTCAGGTAAATCTCCTTCTCCTCTTAGTGTAGTAAATACATACTTTGAATTCAGTGCTTGCTATTTAATTTAAACATGAGTTCTTAGTAGCACATTTGGTCAGCATGCTGGTTGGCTCCGTCTCAGCCGCCTGCTGCTCAGAGTTTGGTTTGGGTCAGAGGGGCTGCTGGTTAGGGCTCAGCTCTCTCTTATTCACATGTTCCAGTTTTAATTTGACAGGCCCAATATCTCTGAATAATGCATTTGAAAGCATAGATTTATTTATACTTATAATTTTGTATCTGATAATTGCAATAAAAACAGGAACAACGTATCTATTGTTGACAAATGTTTTTAAAATTCAAGTTTTTTTTGTGTTAGATAAAGAAATGCTAGAATGTTTTAGGGAAAAGTTAAAGGGGACCTATCATGCAAAATGCACTTTTGTACGTCTTTTATACATGAATATGTGTCCCCGGTGTTCCAGGGAACTCACCAAGTGTCAGAAAACACAACCCTCTCTATTTTCCTCCATACCCAAATCTCTAAAAAAGGGGCTGCAACGGATCTGATAAAAACTGATCCAGATTTGAACACTTTCCTGACGTCAGGACGGTGGCGCTACGGCTATTGGGCCAACTCCACCTATCAGGAGGAGACAGCCACGGCCATTGCCGTTCGAAAGCGCTGGAGACGCTGTAGTACATATGCCAGGCCAGTAGATGGTGCTGTTCTGCCCTTATCTGCCCTTACACAAACAGAGCTAAAAAATGTCAAATTGAGCAAAATGAGGCATGGCTAAAATGCATGATCTGTTTGGTATTTTGAAAATAAAAAAGTATAAATATGCCTTATATAGGTATGGTCCTACACTATATTATTCAAATATAGCATGATAGGTCCACTTTAAGAATTGGACCCATGCATATTTTGATGACTATCAGTAAACATTGTGAATAAAAAAATGATTGGGCTAATTTTGATATTGCCCTATACCTGTTCTATAATATGCACTTAAAATACAAACATTTAAGCAATCACTTTCCTAAATAACAAGAAAAACAAGGTGACACAATTGCCGATTGCTGAATAACACAATGTAAAAAATAAATGGAAATAATAGATTATCCCCAACATGATAATCTTTGAGGGTATTGTCTTTAGAGATGTACATTTTATTTTGCCTAAAATATAGAAAGACAAGGTGAAAATCCCAGAGTGTGTCACCGTCACTGACATGCCTGCTTGATGTTGCTCACTGTGTTTTCTTTTTGTCCAGATCATGTGGTTTCGGAGGGCAGTGCTAGGAGGTCTGACAACCTGCACCGTGCTCAACATCCTCTGGTAAGCACAATATGCTCTTACATCCTTGCTCCTTAACACCTTAATAATAATTGACCCCTAGACAATGCATTGTTATGGGCTTATACACATTTTCACATGTCGTTATCCTTTATTTTCATCCAAATAAATAAGCCATGTTCTATGGAAATTGCAGGTTTAAAAAAAGCTCCCCTCTGACTCTGCATGTACAATGGCACAGACTTTCTCCCCAGGGGAGCGTCTGGTGCATTGTTTCCCAGAAGGAGCACCACAGGACACTGGGCTATTTTCTGTAAATAACTGCAGAGGGTTATGGATTATCGAGGCAGGATATTCAGAGTGGCTTTGTTTCAGACATCACAGTCCTTGCAAGGAAAACATTCACACTTTTGGCAATTGTTTGGTTTAATTTATTGAGTCTATAAGCAATGAGAATCTTGTGCAATGAGATCGTACAATATAATTCACATTACTCTTTGACTGATCTAGTGCACTTTCACATTGTCTTATTTTGATATGGGACAGCAGTTTAGACTGCAATTGTTAGCTTAGCCAGCTTTATCAACCTTAATTTTTCTTTCAGAAAGTAACCATTTATATTATTAAGATGTGATAAGTTCATCCAAATAATGCATATTTGGGAATTTAGTTTTTGGAGCTGTGAGGAGCTGCTGGCTGTGTGAGGGTGGCCGATTGACGTACATAATCGACATGTCGATTATGTTTTTATAATTTATTTCAATACCGAAGGTTACACATGTCTGTACTGTAACTTTAACCATAAGTTAATAATAATTACCATAATTTAAATTATGAGAGCCACCAATTTGGCAATGTCCATCAAGGTAGGTAGATAGTGAATGTTAGCTACGAACAAGCTAGTTCACGTTCCCGAGCTAATAGTTGGCTATACAGATAGTGATTGTGAAGTAGATAGCTAATGTTCACTAGCTAGCTTGTTTCAAGGTTCAAAGTTCAAGGCTTTTATTGGTCATGCGTACATAGCTACAGTGTAGTTATGACGATGAAAAAACGATGTTTGTTAGATGGCTAACATCAGCTAGCGAACTAGCACACTGACAGGATAATGAATACATCCCTCTTGGTTTACTTGTTTTTATACATTTTAACACTTTAGACCTTTGTCTACCCTTCCGGAAGTGAGAGTTATTATTAACTGAGGACGTCTGCTTCAATGTGGAGTACGAAAGAACGGTGTGCTTCGGTACTTTTTGTAGTTCTTTATAGCAGAGAACTTATACCATCTACACCAAAAGATAAGACAGTAATAAATAGGCAATTTTCATGTCATCCTGTCAGCCACTACAGAGGATAGATGTGGTATAAAACCATTTTATTGCTGCAGTTTACGCTGCTGTAACGCTTTACCTGAAGAACTAGCAGTATGCATTAGTACTGGAAGTGGGAATAGCTGATGTGAAACTGCTTGGTGGAATTTAAGGCTGAAAGCTGCCAAAAACGGGAGTTTGGGTTTAAAATGTAGGCTATAATTCAAAACAATAAAATTCAGTTACTCTGCTTTTATAAGCTGATAAGTGATGGACCATGATTTACATGGCGCACATCACTGCAGGAACCTTTGAAAAAAGCCCCTGAAACCATCAGCAGAGGTTTGAGGAGAGCGAGTAACAACATCAGCCAACTGGCATAACAACCATCAACACTAGAGTCCATGTGCAGCGGGCAAAACAGACATCTACAATCACTTGAAAGCTTTTTTTTGTTTACAGTAGAAGAGCAGAGCATTTGAGCATTTGAGGAGAACAATAAAACATATTTCCTGCCGTTGACATAGAAACACGCTTCAGGGGTGTGGAATTTTGAATCAGATTGCATTTCTTTACAATGGTATTCAAATCTCTCTCTCTTCAGTAAAGATGCTAAGCAATACCAAACAGCAGCCATATTAACATAACAAATGTGTCTACAGTGTGGGCTGCCAAAATTAGGCTGATATTCTTTCTTTTTTTGTGAGTGAATGTTTTTGGATATAAATTAGTTTGAATGCTCCATTTACATTTCATAAACCGTCTGCATCTACCGTTTTAGTGTTGATAATTTAATCATTTGTTGATATGTGCGTGTTTGTTTCTACAGTAGTGAGCAAACAGCTAGTTTCATGCGAGCGATAAAGAAAATAATAAGCAAACTTTAACTTCACTCCACAGTTAATTTACTAATGATTAAGATTTGTTGTCTCCTTGTATTGGAGAAGTCTGAAAGAGTAACTCAGGTTGGCAGGCAGGCTTACAAAACATGCTGTCAAGGAAAACAAATTGTTTTCGAGAATGATAAGTAATCTTTTCAGAATTTAGTTTATTTTCGTAAAATGTAGACAATTTGGAAACATTTATTTACCTTTGAAAATGTGGTGATTTTGTTTTATTTTTAAAAGGTTGTACCATGCAGTCCTAACAGTCCAGTGCCTGGGTTTCTTTTCGTGCCAAAGCCCCTTTGCTGCAATTCTCTCACCCTTTCTGTGTTACAAAGGCAAATAGGCCAATAAATCATCTTAAAAAATCCTAAAATATAAAAGGGCAAGCGCGAGAAGGAATATATCATGGCACCGCTGCACCAGATACACAACGATGACAAATTTCACTGAGCTAGACCCAACAATTGTCTGTATCTGACCTTTGCTGTACTTTACTGATCAGCTTCTGGCAAAACAACTTGCAGCAGCTCCACACAATAAGTCTCTCTCCTCTGGGATACTTCTCCGAGATTTATGAGCTTCAGGCTGCTCTTTTTTTCCTTTTGTGTCCAACCTACACACCGGATTCTGAAAGCAGTGTTCCGTGGCGAGGCAATGCTCCATAATGGCTGGTTTTTTCACAGGGGAGCCCCATTTATCGATTCATGATAACAATTCAGAGTTATTTCAGTGCCCGGTAAACAGCCTTTACTTTCTCTCACCGCATATACTGAGCCCTTAGGTCAACACACGCACTGCAAAAAAAACAAATTACACTTTTACTTTTAGTTGAATCGATGCATGGTTAGATGAGCCTTCACCTAAGTGCTCTGTTTTAGATGGATTTCACACTCTAAGGCTTTATGAGTGTGACTTTTCATCCATGTGGGTGGATTGTGGTGTTCAATAAATGGTGAGTAGTCAGCCAGTGTACGTCAGCCTTTACTAAGTATGCTTCTACTGCTCTCAGCCAGATCATCTTATGATGAGGTTTTGAAATGTTTGTCCTCTTGGAACCAAAGTGAGATTACTTTACCCAGACTGAGAGAAGTCTTTATAACAGCAACAGTTTAGACATCTTGAAATCCCTTCATTCTAATGGTACTGATAAGTGGCTTTTGCCCATTGTGTCATATTGAATGTAGTCAGTGATTTTGCAACAGCTCAAATTTGATGAAATTTGGGAATAAGTGTTGAATAATGTCTGACAGTTCTAAACCTCTACAGAAAGTGGGTAAAAAAAAAAGGTATCAGCTTACTGTGTCGTACCAATTATATCCAATCCTATTCTAAAAAAAGAGTAACAGTTGGTTTCAACCTAGAAAAAGTAGTTCTATGTTCACCAAGCTTTAAATACATTTTGAAAACGGTGGCCTTATTGAATTGCATTGTTCTATACTGTCTGGTGTTACTGAGTTCAGAAGTGGTGGAATATCTGAAGAAATATTATCCTGGTAGCCTTAACCTGTTACGCACCGCCCCCTTCGATTATATTGGCTCTCACGGTCAGAAAGAGGTGTCAACCATCAAAATCGACCAAGGGGGGCCAGAGATATGGAAAAAAAAACATTTTCACCCAAATCACCTCAGAGGTGGAGTGGTTTTGGCTAAACCTCTCTAAAAAGGTCAAATGTCACTTGTTTTGCATCAATCTTTATACAGGGTACTTATTATATGTTGTACTTTGGATTCCTAAAGCTTTTAGTCTACTAACCCATCATCCAAGGGTAGTTTTCACTATAAGTAAAAAATAATTTTTGGACGGACACTATAATTTACAGTTTTTTACGATGTAAAATCTGAATTTTCTTTAAAATAAAAAACATCTATATTGATTCTGACTTTTCTACATCCAACTCACAGGTTTATCATTACTTTGAGAATAAAGATTATTAATTTAACCCTTTTAGAAGGGAAGATATGGTCATTTGTTCTGGGAATGGCATTTTCGAGCCTGAGACCTGAAAAACAGGCTCAGAGCTTAACAGGTTAATGGTATCAATCAGTGTTTAGCTGATGTCCCTCACTGTCCCAGGAACCTCACATTGAGGAATGTGTTGTGGTGCAGACCAGTAACCTGTTTCTGCTGCCAAAGTCTGAGAGAAACAACTCGAGTAGTTTTATTCAAGCAAACCCTGGTGTCAAGGACCAAGCAGTGAGGCAACAAGGACACAGGAGTGTCTTTTTATTTATCCAAAACTATAAATAAAACTAAGAATCTTAGGGAAAAGAAAATAACTATAGATATAACAGCAACTTAACATGTGTTAACTGACCAAACCAACCTCTCACTATGATAGATAACATATATAGTGGCTTGGCGGAAACAAATAGCAAACAAAGGGATAACATGTAAGATGAACACATTCAAAAAACACTGACGAAACCCAAATCGCCCCCTTAATATGAAAGCCCATGGTTTGGCCCATTTGACTAAGTATTAAAGAGTCCTCAGCCCTCGGCACGCCTTTGGCTCCTGCAGGTTAAAACCATGTAAAGTAAATAAACAGTTCACCCTTTAAATCAAGTATTTGGTGTACATTTTTGTGCTGGTTGACTGCAACTGAAATAAGCTATCATCGTGTGAGCACAGTTTGAGTTGGATTTGTTGTGCTTGTTGTCTATTTCCTTTAGTTTTAAACACATGACCTGAGGGATTCTGTGTTGTTCTGTGATTGCATTAAAACCCACAGTGCTGTGTCTGAACACATCCCAACGTATTGCTCACGACGCACCTGCTTTTCAGATTCACCTTTGTATTTTCCCCTCATTTCATAGACATGAATGAGAAATGGGTCAATTGTAGCCTCACACTTTGAGGAAAGCAACAAGGGAAGTGTTCACGAATAAGACCTATTGCTGTCTTTCTGCCACACATCTTTTCACTATTGCTCAATTCTCTGAGACTACCAGGAGTCTAGAACATTGTATATAACCTATTAGCTCAAATCTATGATGAAAGAACTGAACATTTATGTAAAGCCTTGGAATTTACATGATTTGTTCTTCAAAAGGTGTGACGTTGGCAAGGTTACAATAAGTTGACTGAAACCACCACGGCTTACACTGCATGGACACATTTCCTCTCTCCAGCCTTACTTTCCCTCTCCCTCTCTTATCACACTACTTCTTCTTTTTGGGGTCCTGTTCCTGCTTGACGTCCTGGTAAGCAATTTCCTCGGCCTCCATTTTTTAGACCATAATTTTGATTGATAATTATCGCCGGGGACATAATTCTGTTGAGCCGCCCGGCAGAGTGAAAGACTAGTAGAATAAAATAGAAATGGTGTGTTGTTGGGTGCATTCGAGCGTAGCCACAACAAATGAATGGATAAATCTCTCAGAGCTGCACTGCCGATTCAAACAGACCAACAGCCGGTGCCGCAGAGATGAGAAAATGTACTTGTCCATGACTTGCTTTCTCTTTCTCCCTGCAGCCTAACTTTATGGCCTTTGCTTTCAAACAAAGAACTTGTGATTCATTCTCAGGTTCACATATCCGCCGCTTTTGTTTTTAGAATACCTATCTGCGCCCCCAAGGATTATTGGGCTTAAAATGTGGCTCAGGAGTTGAGAATATCGTTTTGCAAGTGGCTCAATGTGAGTCCAGATGATTTTGCTGTTTATTCTTTACTCAAAGAGGCCCTAATATGCTTTTGGGGTTTTTTCCATACTGTAGGTCATTGTGCATGGAAATGGTCAGTCGCAAATCCCTGTGTTAGAGGTAAGCTTATAGTTGCTTGTGTACACATCTAGCAGACACAGAGCAACATACAGTAAGCAATCATTCTGACCTTGTGTCTGTCCAAATGAGGTACAAAGTCCAAAATGCACTCTCGTCTCTTAGCTCTATTTTTGGACTCCTCCTAACTGAAATATATCTGTCTCTTTAGCCGTTAAATGCTCCACTTTGATGATAGTCTCGTACTTTGTTTGTCTGAGGCTGTGAATGCAGTCTACAATGGCTTTATGAAGGTTTTCCACAAAAGACAACTGCTTTTGTGTGGTGTCTTTGGACCATGGATGTATAAAGAGAACTTGATATAGTGTTGTTGGAAGCAAGGCCCCATATTACTGCCTGGTATAAAACTAATCTTACACATCCACGGGGCCCATAGAGACATAAACCTCGCCTCCTACCACAACGACTGCATGCAGAAAAATTCACAAGGCCGAGGAAATATAACTCTGGATCTGGCTTGTATTGCATTTTATACCTTTTGGGAAATAATATATCAACTAAGGGTTAGTTAAGTGTCCGTACTTAGAAGTTGATTTACAGAATACTCTTTCCCATTGTAAATATATGGGAAAAAAAATGTTTGGACCAATTGGGATCATATGAAGGATGCTCAATTTGTAATGTTATAGTTTGGCAACTATGAAAACTGGTTTTGAGGCCCGGCGCAGGTCCTAGGGTCTTTGTGAGGGGCAGGACAACTTCCTACAACAAGACATCAGTCAATGTGCATACATCAGAAATCTACCCATCATTTTCTATCCTTGTCTTTGTGCTCTATAAACATTATTTGATCCTACTTTTTCATCTAAAGAAGGTCTCGTCGGAAATAAGAGCATCATCCATCACCACGTCTTGTAGATGTTATGGGATGGCATGTGGTTACATTGGCTCCATTGGCTCATGGTATCTCCACAGAACAGTTATACGTGCCCTTTGTAATGAGATTTGACATCACACTGTAATTCTAAAACATGCTCTTATCAAATAATTTGTTTAATATAATACCAGAAAACAAGGTATTCTGTGTTGTACAGTCCTTATGTCTGTCCTTTTAACCAAGAAAGTAACTAATAGCCATTAAAGCCCTTCTGTATGCTCAGCTTTATTGTAAACTGTACATATCCAAATACCATATTGGTTTGTAGCTCAGGTACATTCTTAAAAAGTGCTGAGAATGTATTCAACGTATGTCTTTTTTTATCTGTTGCGATGAAAATATGCTGATTTGTAAAAAGTTGGTTATGGAAGGACATGTATTTCTTTAAATGTGTTGGATTTCCTTGACAATGGGGTGACATGAATACATGTATATGTGCTCAAATTAATGTTGTTATTAATTGTATTACAAATCTGCCTGTGTGTTCAGGTGCTGGGCAGTGCTGGAAATCGTGCCTCAGACGTCGACATCAGAGAGGCGGCTGGCAGCTGGGACCTCTCCAGACCCCGGCACCCCTCTGCTGTACTCCAACATCTCTCTGGAAGAGTGAGTCTAAGTCATTTCTTCTCCTGTTTTGTGCCTTTCATTAGATCCAACCATCATTTAGTCACAGACCTACTTCTGTAGCCTGTTAGTTATTGCTGCTTCACATATTATCTGTCAGGCACGTCATATTTTACTCTTGATTCAATTATGTTTCCGCAGACCTTAGATGAACCAGGGTTTATCACTTCTAAGTGGCCTGTCTGAACTTATTTGGGTCTATAAAATCAGATTTGACTAGAGCATGGTGGCCCAATCTATGATCTTTGATATAATAGATAGATTGATTAAATCCAAAGGGAAATTGCTAAATGTTCTTGTCAGAATACATTGATATGTATACGAACATTCGTCTAGAGTCTTTCCTTCAGGCAAATAACTGCTTTATCCATCTCCATCTCTGCATAATAGTTTTTTTGGGAAGTCTGTTTGGATGACATTTTTACTTACTGTAATGAACCCCGGCACAGTACTGATTGAAAGCCAAGATGTTACTGTAAATGTCGCAGTAAAGGGCATTGCTATTACCTGATCAAATGAACCAAAATAAAGCAGTAAATGCTGCAGAGGTCACTCTGTGGCTGATGAGAACGAGCCCTTACATGATGTTGGGACCAAGCCAAGGCATTGGTATTAGGTTGTGCAGCTTTGAAGGAATGAGGGTTTTCTCTATTATTTACTTTCAGTCTTCAGCATTACAATTGTTGGTATTGTCTGTCACAAAGTTCCAGGCTGACATCGGTGAAAATCCTCCTTTGAGACTCATTGCAGACTGCTTCAGTTTCATTGAAGATGACAGTTTATTCTTGACCTTGCAAAACAACTGCACACATAATGTCCATTTAGCATATTATACATGAGCCGAGGTAGATACAAGTTTATGACCTAGTATACACCAAAAGTGAATACAAATAACTGGATTCTACTGATTTAAACTAGAGATATACATGGGTTTATGCTTGGTAGTTTATTGAGCTCAAAATAAATTATCAACGATTTACAGACGTCTCTTTTCCAATGTTAGTCAATGGGAAAAAGTCTGACGGACACAGAGGTTAGGGGTTCCACAGGGCTTGGGATAAAGCCCTATGGATAAACTGTTGTCTAGTTTTCAAAGGCAATTTATAATTTAATACAAAAATGAATAACAAGAAACCAAAGTGGAAAATATGAAAACAAAACAATAATTCAGCTGACACACTACAACTAAGACAATAATCGAACAACATCAGAAAGAAGAGAACATTGATGTAAGCGGTTGACCAACCACAACAGAGCCGGTCAGCTAACCAATCAGAGCAGACTGGGCTCTGGTTTCAGACAGAGGGTGAAAAGAGGTGCTGCAGCACAGGCAGTATGAGAAAGATAAAGAGCTTTTTGAACATTAAAGCATGGAGACATGTCCCAGTAGAGACAATATATATTAATATGAACCTGAAAATGAGCAGAATTATAGGGCCCCTATAGTTATTTTACAGTTATTTTACATGTTGCAGTGATGCAGTTTGCTTAGATTTGTAAATGTATAGTTTCCTGCATGTTGAGGTTTGTTATTTCATTCTTGACCTTGGAAATAGCAACTGTCAAAAACATTTCAGATTCAAAAACACGGCAACTGGACATATGGATCGTGAAGTCCTATTAAAAAAATGTAACCCAAAATGTCCTCCATTATGTGAGATAGAAAGACATATTGTAAAATACCATCCATAGACATGAGCTCAGCCCTTAAATAATTTGGCAGGCTTGGAGCTCTTTTTGTGCCGTTTCATTGTCCTCTCCCATTTGGCGATAACAGAACAGTGCCAGATTTCTGATAATAAGTTAGCTTTTTGTCATCAGAATTGTACAGCGTGCCATTCCGTTGCCGTGGAAAAGGTGACAGTGATGATAGATCAGCAGAGAATGTGTGAATGTGCACAATTAGCAGCTCTTGTACTGAATGTGTAATTATTTCAAAGCATCTTTGAATGGTAATGGCTCCCTGGCTCAGGCCCTTTCCATTAAATCCTTCTTCATTCCACTGATTTGCAGAACAACCGTATTTCATTCTGATTGCTCGGTATGAATTTTTATTTCTGTGTTATTCTTCCCGCCCATACCCATCACTTTTCATCGTTCGTCTCTTTAAAAAGCAGAGCTCCTGTGACCCAGATGGCTGAGAGTACCTCAGCGACAGGTGCTCTTCTCCCCACAGAACCACAGTGCCCCCCAGTGGACCTCTATCATTCTTTAAAAGGAGCTCCGAGGGTTTATCCCCTCATCTGATGCAGCTTGTAGAGCAGCAATGTGCTTTTAATGCAATGTAAGAATAAAGGGGACAATGACAATGTTTCAGCTTTACTTGAAATTAGTTAAATCATTTAAAAGGAATGGAAACATAATATTATATTCTTTAATGCAATGATTTGTTTAGCATCTTCCATACAATTTACTTTAAAGTCCATTGCCAGTTTTAATATGGGTAATACAAGTTCAATTCTTAAATAAAAGTCAATAACTAAGAGACACAAAACACAACCAAAGCAAACTAAAAAGAAAAAGATTTTTTTTTTTAAACATTGGGGAGGTTATTTTGGAGTTAAAGAAGTTAATGAAAAGATAATAAGGCATTATTAATGGAGACAAATAAATAAATAAATGTCATTATTAGATATTCTGAATCATTCATACAGTATGGTGCCCTGTGATGCAGCACTACAGAAAAAAACAAAAGAGGCAATAGAGTGCAGGAATGAGTCCTAGAACCCAAAATGGGTTTTCTAGTTAGTAGCCTGAAATAAGATCTTTGGTTAACACACGTTTAAAAGATATTCATGTTTTTTTTATGACATAAAATACATCTGGAATCACCCTACTCGCAAATGTTATGTGTCATAAAAACAGTGGTTGCTATATAAACTACTAAACGTCATCATGCCAAACATTTTTGCCTTTAGCTCAGCGGTGGAGACAACCACACATCCAACAGTGATGTTATTTGTTCATAGGCTAAGGCGTCAGAAATATTAAAGTGGTGTTAATATGTGGAGATAACCCTGTTGAACCAAACGTGTTAATTATCATAAATATGTGTTTTGAAAAGATCTTATTTTCTGCAATATACTGAAATCCCATTGCTTTTGGGGATCCTTTGTTATGATAACTTCCAGGTCTGCCAACAACAATACATCATCACTGCCACACTCTGTAATGGTGTGATTTCAGTCTGAAATAAATCATACCAAAATAAAAATGGGGACCATAGTTGATGGTCTATCAGTTATGCCTACATTGACAGTAGATTTGAGTGTGTTTCTGTAATGGTTCATTTGGCAGACGCTTTTGTTCAAACGCACATAGGGATGAGTCACAATCCCATCCGCAGTGGATCAAACCGAGGCCTTTGAAATAACTCCCTCATCACTCACTTCCAGGCTCCACCTGACTCAAGTGCAACACAGTTTTGATGGAGATTTCCGGCCTCGGAGTGGTTGTTCATTCGCAGATGGTAGTGAATCAGAAGGCTGAGCGAGGGAGTACAGGTACTCTGCCGCTGTGCTTGTAGCCACTCAGCCAGCATTTGTGACTGGAATGTGAGCAGCAACAGGGAGCTGAAGGAGGGTAATGAAAAGTTGAGTGACGTGAGCTGCATCTGGCTGGCTGAAGATCAGACGTGCTGCTGCATTTCAGACTGTTTACTGATGTTTCACTGTGTTAGATAGGACCTGATCTTGCTGAGGTCATACAGTGTGAAGGGGCGTGTGCAACAGGTACTATGGGCCTTAGGTAGTCATTCATCTCGATTTAAAAAAACAGACTTTGCTGGGGAGAGTGAGACAGAGATAAGCTGGATGCTACTACCCAATTTATACATTTCTTTGACTGGCAAATTGGTGCCACCTACTCCTTATGAGAATCAGATTCCGATTACTTAACTGTCCATAAAAAAGGACATATTATGCTCCATATTAGTATTTAGTACCTCTACTGTGACATGTTTACATGCTTTATTACATGGCTTAGTTGAATACTCGATTCTGATTGGTCAATTCAGAACACGTGACACGTTGTTAATCCAGTAGTACAGACCGCTGTCAAGGACTTATTGACCGTTGTTAAGGACGCTCATATCTGCAGAAAGAAGTCTGTTCGATTGAACTGTACACAGTTTGGCCGAAAAGCAAACTGCACGCTTCGCATCGGGTTCCCTGATCAGCCTGTCGGGTGTTCTTTTCCCCATAATGACCACCTCGCTGCACATTATCCCTTACTTAAAACAGTAATTAAACATCTTTACCAATATAAAGTCAAAATCATGCAACATTTAATTTGCGGCAAGAGACGTCAGTGAATCTAGTATGATGAGTTGATCAAGGCTGCGGCAGATGAGAGGAAATACTTCACTTACTTACACACGGGTGGGGGGGGGGGGGGGGGAGGGGCATGTGCTGCAATAACCCAGAGGACTATTATCAATGTAAATGTACAGACCTAGAGAAAGTTTCATATAATTATTTACACAATTTGGAACCAGAAAAAATACTTTATGGGAAGTGTCTTTGACCATATCAGTCAGTCTGTGTAGAAACTGTATGAGCTGGAGAACAGTGCATCCAATCTTAATATACATGTGAGCTATACTTTTGACAGCAGAAAACACTTTATACCGTCAGCACCAAGGTCACACGATGAAAACACAGCACTCTCCTGTGAGAGCTGTAACCTTATCCTGCTTCATTGGGATGGATGAGCAGCGGTGCAGCATGCCTTTCATTCAGGGCTTCAGATGAGTACAGGTGTCGGTGTGCCAGCTTGGCATGAGGCACAACACTTCTGCTCAGAAGTCAAAGGAGCCCCTTGCCCCAGGACAGCCAGCTGCCATCACACACAGCAACAGGTGGGACACTTCCCGGCCCGTTCCCATGCATATCTAACTAAAAGGAGTCTGTCTGTTGGTGTCATTCCATTTTATCGAGTGCTGTTTATCCAATCCACTTCACACTTGGCAGGTGTATAGCTGTGCCTTGTGTTGAATGCCAGCTCTTGAGATCTATTAGGCATTGGTATTTAATGAACTGCATTTATACAGCACTTACTAATCTTTCCAACCACTTAAATGGTTTTATTAAATGTGCCAACTGCTAGGACTGTCTTAGGGAAAATAGCATTTAGATGCGCAGCTCCACTGTCCTGGAATAGTCTGCAATTAAAATGGAAACTGAGCAATCTGTTGCCACTAAATGTTTTTAAAGCTCGGTTGGATGCTACTGAATCGGAAGCTGTTGGTACCTGTGCATGTGGATAGTATGTAAATTGTAATCCCTGTAATGCTACTGTATGATGTCCTTTTGTTGCTCTGTTATGTTTTTAATGTTTCATGTGGAACCTACTTGAGCAGGTCTCCCTTGAAAAAGAGATCAATGATCTCAATGGGATACAACCTGGATAAATAAAGGTGTGAAATGAAATGAAATGAAAGCAGGGATCAGAATACCAACTCTACGATTAGGGGATGACCGCTTTACTTATGTCAATAATATTAGATTAGATTACATGCACAAAGAAGCACTGTTTACTAGTACCTGTGCTGTTTGGTCCATTAATTCATGTGTTCTAAAATTATAAATTATTGTAATTGTTACAACTAGTCCTAGAGTTCCCAGTTCTGTTTGTTGGGCTGCAAATGAAAGCAAAGGGAAACAGACCTACAGCACGTTACCACAGCAGGAGACAAATGGCCAAAATTAGAGTTTAAAATGGAAACACTGATTCATAGCTTTAGCCCCGCCACATGTTTTACAACCATTTGTGCCTCATTTCATATTTAGGACAATAATATTTCCCCAGGAGAACAGCCCGGGCGCTGGCCGGATACAGAGAGCCAGGCTCTGTTTAGATGAGTCCTAATGGAGATTCATGTATACAGAGGGCAGCCCTTTATGAAATATGACTACTATTAAAGGAGTAAAGGCAAAACAGAAGAATTTAGTATAAAAACCTAACGTCAGCTGAGCACACATGTTTTGTGCTGTTTATGTGGTGTTACTAGTTAAACTTAAGTTAAACTTTAATTAGTTAAACTTCAACTAGTAACATCGCATAAACAACGACTTTTAACTGTCAAAGTCACTCAAAAACACTCTCTCATAGTCTCCAACCTATAGCCATATGAGCATTTCCATTGAAAAAGTGATTGACAAACAACACACTACCCTCATATATATATAACGTAGGATGTAATGGAGTAAGCTCCTTAAGTTATGAACTCGAACTTCATCAATGAACAACGGATGTAAGGGACATACCTAACAGCATTTACCTTTGGTATCTTCTTAGGGTTAAAACATGTAACAAATGCTAAATATGTCACTAATCATTACATTTGTGTCCAATTTTCTGATGGACAAATTGACCCCTACTACTGCTTAACAGATCTGACTAGTTATTGTCCATTAAACATATGATGCTAATGTTCAGGTTCATATTAGAATGTAGTGTCTCTGCTGGGACATGTCTCCACGCTTTAATGTTCAAAAAGCTCTTTATTTTTCTCATACTGCAGCACCTCTTTTCACCCTCTGTCTGAAACCAGAGCCCAGTCTGCTCTGATTGGTTAGCTGGCCGGCTCTGTGGTGATTGGTCAATCGCTCCCCCCCGTAGCATTTCATATTCAATGTGTTGGAGTGCTAGCAAATACACTGGCAAATAAAGCAACACTCAACATACAAAGCACAACATAAAGTCACACACAATAGTGACTCTTTCAATAGCCTGGGTCCATTAAGATGTCCGAGCAGCGTACTCTGTAGTATCTCCTTTAACCAACTCCTAATAACTACATAACAGTAGAATAGAAAAAAGCAGCATTCTTTTGAATTTCTTGATGATATATTTGGATGGAAAGGTGTCCTAAGAATGAATTCATTAGTAAAAGCCCTGAACACTCCTCATGTGAAATGTAAAGCATTATAGAAATATGTATTTCTGTGTTTACCACAATTTACACACAATGTATTAAATGAAAAAAACACATGAATTTCCAACATTTCTTGTTTGAATTGACTCTTAAGACCATGAATAGATCAGAATCAGAATTGGGTTTATTGCCATGTAGAATAAGTTGTAGAAACGGAGCAAAAACGAAAAAAGTAAAATATTTTAAGTACTCTAATCACAAATTAAAAAACAAAGATAAATATTTTCTCAAAATAGAAATACAACAGTACAGTTAAAATATTTAACATGTTAAAAATGTGACACATTTACAGCTCCAGCTGGTGGACATCAGGTGTTCCTTGGCTAGGGGATCAGAATCAGAAATCCTTTATAAGTCCCACAGCAGGAGAGTTAGGTGGCATAGCAGGTCAAAAAGGCAAACAATGATAACAAAGAAAAGCACACATTAGAATTAAACATTTCAAAATAAAGACCAATGAGTACACAACCATGGCTAAAACAAGCGAGTAGCAGCAGTTTAACATAACTAAGTGACATAAATAAAGTAATAAGACCTTATTAAAATACAACTGTTTTTTTTTTTTTAAATGTATGTAGAGATTTGTGTTGCTCAAAGACACATCAGCACAAGTTGATAATGGTGGTAAAACATGTATAATGTATCTGACTCTGTATGTGTTGTCCCTCAGGTCGGAGAGAGCAGGAGAGATAGCCACCATCCCCCTGACTAAGGTGAGACTGCTCACTCTTTGTGTGTGTGTGTGTGTGTGTGTGTGTGTGTGTGTGTGTGTGTGTGTGTGTGTGTGTGTGTGTGTGTGTGTGTGTGTGTGTGTGTGTGTGTGTGTGTGTGTGTGTGTGTGTGTGTGTGTGTGTGTGTGTGTGTGTGTGTGTGTACTTTCTGAAGTGATTTACATAATGCCTGCCATCTATTTTGTACGTAATGGGAGACTTTAAGGGTTGGATGAAGCCTCAGATTTCCCTGGATGTGTTGGAGCAGCACTCGGCTGTGATGAAGTGTCTTGTTAGAGGCAATCACAGTGTTTCTGTTTTTAAATGTCCCAATCAGCACGGATCCTGAGAGAAGTGCATCATTAGGGAGGGAGACATTTAAATCACACTGTGTGTATGTTGTATTAACAATATAATAATTACTATCACTAAGTCCATATACCACCCCGTGGTGGGTGGGAGACGTCAATTGATTTACTTTCTTCCACCCCCAGCCTCTTCTGCAATTGCTGTTTACTTCCTGAACTTCTCATGGAGCCTACTTGAAAACAGTTCATCGCTGATATGAGTTGGCCTCGTAACAGTTTTACAAACAATCATTTCTATGGTTGCAGTAAGGCCAGCAAACCGTTTGATTCGAAAATTGGTACATGATAATGGGGTTCGAGTTGAGAGAAGTTGTTGACGACCAGATAGTTACAGAAGTATTCAGTTTGAACTCAGTTGATGGGTTACATTTTAGGCTAAAAGAACGTTAACTTGTTGTATTTCTACAGCCAATGGGTTCATAGATGGCCTTTCTGACAATGTGTCTTGCCTTTTTGCCCTCCTCACGGACTGTTTACCTTTATCCAACCAAAACCTGCTCAGCGTGATTGATCAATTCAATTCATTCAATACATTATATAATTGTTTGTTTTTTTCAAGATTCATAGGTTTATTGTCACAACAAATACAAACAGTGTAATTATGTATGACGAACTTAGATAGCAGGTTCCTCAACAGTGCAATTACTAGACATAAACAAAAATACAAATATATATATATATTTAATTAATTATTTAATAATATTCAATTACAAATACTGTACAAACCAGAACACTTCCGATATTGATGCTTACAGATATATGTCTAGAGATGATCCTGGTAAAGACCACCTCGTGTTATTATCCTCTCAGAAGCTGTTGGTTCTGAAGACGTTGATGTTGTCAGAGTCAGTGAAGGTGAACCACTCACAACGCTGATGTCTGATCTGAAATGTGTTGAGTTTGTTTCGTAAAGATTCAGCTACTGAAGCCTTTAAGTAGGATTGCATTGACAAGTCAAAGTCACATAGTGTAATCAAACATATCATTCCTGCTATGGAATCAGAGTGTTTTTAAACTTTTGGGACCAGCAACACAAGGGGGAAAATTGCAAAACAGATTCAGCATATCTTCCCGACCATTTGTACAATTGCACAGCCATTGGGACTATTTGTATATCTAAATGTTTCAACCTAAATACAACCCTGTTCCATGGTCATACAAAGAAGCCCATTTCAGTTTGAATCAGGTTAGCACTACTTTGTCTTACCCTAATGTTCAGAGTGCTTTGTTATCAGATGTGTCTGGCTGACTGAATAACCTTCTTGATATTGTCTGGATTAAGCTAATTTGGGTTTACCATCCCTTGACGATAATAACTCAAATAATCTTCATGCTCGCCTTCCTAGCTAGCTAAAACAAAACAAAAGCTAAGCAGTAGGGGCCCTTAGTGATGTGACCAATATGTCAGTGTATATTAGCCCAAAGCCTACATGGACGGAGGAAATTGACCCAATATGCTTGTTTTGTATGAGCATACAAATATATTCCTCCTCACTAGATATGCATTTTTGTACTTTACAACTATTTTATTATTTATATAAAATGATCGGCATAGTCTGGCAGAGTAGCCCCACTTTGAGAATCACTGAAATACACATCTTCTCATAAACCTTCTAAACAGCATTATACAATAACACATTACCAATAGTAGCTAATGGTAATCTCCTTTATCTTTGTTGACCCTTTCTTTTCTTGTCTTAGTTTTCTGTAACACTGCAAGTACTCATTAAGAAGCCATGATGCAGTTTCCTTTGTATGTGTGCTAAAGGCCTTTACATGCTCTCACAGACACATGCAGAGATAGATAATGGTTTTGTTGGAAAATCACACGGTAGCAACATGTGCTCATTGTGTTTGGATCCAATTACACAGGAAACAGTGTGTCTAACAGCCGCTAATGGAAACACGCAGCAATTAGCTGCAGAGGCTGGCTGACAAACTAATTGGTCGTCAGAGAAGACATTAAAGAGAATTTAACTCAGAGAATGAAAAGTAGCAGGTGAAGATCTCAGGATAACGAGCAGAGGAAACTGCAGGAACCACTGACTCACTGCTACTAATTATAATGAAACCCAAGTGTACTGTGTCTGTCAGGAAATGGAACTCTATGAAAATGGAGAGCTGGTTTACATTAAAGCAAATTGGTGAGGACTTGATCGTGGAGTGGGGACAACAGGTGTCTGAGCTAAAAAGACACATCCGTATCTATACAACTCATTTCCACATTCTAAAATACAGAATCCTTGATAGACAACAGGGTGTCCGCGGGGTCTTAAAAAGTATTAAAAGTTGATAAATCAATTTAGAGAAAATTAAGGCTATTAAAAAGTATTAAACGGCTTTTTCCAAGGTATTACATTTTGTAGCTTGTTTTCAATAAGTATATCAATTGTCCAAAGAGGTTGTATTCTACAGTTTGCCTGAATTTAATCATTGCGTAGGTGTGTAGTGTGATTCTTTGTAGTTTATTTATGGCATCCCGTTGGATTTGACGTCATCTGAACAGGACATCGCGCGCTCACTGCTTGATAGTGCGCGAAGGTCCGTTTACACCGGTTGTTAAACAACATCGTTATGGGGAAATGCAAGTTTGGGTTCAAATGGTTTGAAGATAAGGAGGAAGGACAATCAATACTCTATATAGTAAATGTGAGGTAAAGTGTGTCGCCAATGTAACCGGTTTAAAACTCGAAGTGGCGATGAGGTCTTAAAATGTATGGAAAGGGTCTTAAAAAAGGTCTTAAAAGGTCTTACATCTGACTTCAGGATTCCTGCATATACCCTGGACAAACAATGTAAATGTTTCTCTTTGGAAAAGTTTTGGCAGGATAATCTTTTTAAGTTATTTTAAAATAATCGTCTGTGATACAGTAGGATAAACAGCTTTGCCAGAATTCATTGCTCAAAAATGTGTCTTTCTTCTTAGAAGGTTATGTGAAATTAGTGTAATGCCCTAGGTCCGGCAGTGGCTCAGTCAGTAGGGGCTTGGACTGGGAGCCGTAGGGTCGCTGGTTCAAGTCCCCGACCAGACCTAAATATGGAGTGTGGACTTCTACTTGGAGAGGTCCCAGTTCACCTCCTGCCCTGCCGTGGTGCCCTTGAGCAAGGCACCGGACACCCCCCTTCCCCCCCCACTCCCATTGCTCCCCGGGCGCTGTACAATAGCTGCCCACTGCTCCTAGTACTAGACTCCTGGTACTAGGATGGGTTAAAAGCAGAGGCCAAATTTCACTGTGTGTGCTGTGTGCTCTGCATGTGTGACCATTAAAGAGGGTTTCATCCCTCCCTATTATAAAAAACATGCTTTATTTCCTGTTTGGTGGTTCTGGTTCACTTCAGCCTCTTGTGGCTGAAATAAGTATTACAACTACAACACAATACTAGCCCGACAAATAATAAAAAATATCTCATCTTAAAAACATTTGATCTCAATCTTTCACAGGTAAAGAAATAAAAAGGAGTTTAAATAATTGACCTGCTCTTAAGTCTTAAACAGAGGGGTAATGTTTTACCAATAGCATCACAAATGCCCTTCCTTTTAAATGTACAGATGCCTCTCTTTTTCTTCCCCCCCCATGTAGATCATCAATGAGCGCTACAAGGCGTACTCCTGGGTGGCTGAGCTCATCCAGGTGTTCGTAGCCATCAGCGTCACTGTGTCCTTCCTGGTCATGGGGTCCGCCATGAAACACACCAGTGAGTTCCTCATGCTGCTGCACTCATATGAACTCATTCACTCTGTCACCATTCACACAGCACTGAAACATCTGGCCATGATGCTGTACTCTCCTAGCTGCTGGAACATCATCCCAGATTATCTGAGACACTTTCATTTTTTTAATTGTCAAAGGCACATTTAAACCAGACTAAAAATCTGCTTTTTTTCCACCAAGCTGTCAGGATGCTAAACTCTCTCCCCTCCCTCCCACCTCTCTCCCCACATACACACACATCCAGCACCACAGACTTTGTATTTATCCAGACACTTAAACTACGCTGCTATGGTCAAGTGGTTTTACACAAGTTCATGTATGTATATAGCCCTACACATATATATTTTTTTTATATTTTAATTTGTATACCTCTGGATTATGAGAAACAGCATTTTCGATCTCCCTGTCACAGAAAATTGACAATAAAGTTGACTTTGTAGTGCCGAGAGAAGGGAGTCTGAGGCGGTGCATCGAAGGTGCAAATCTCACTTTATTGAGCAGCAGAAATTGACATGCTGTCGGGTCGCAGGCTGAGATGAGAAGAGAAAGTGAAAGGGAGGACACACAGTAGGTACACAGTAGGTACCGTCAACATATGCGTCCGTGCGGAAACAATACCCCCAACCTGTAGTTCCATGATTGGATTATGTAACCCAGTGTATTAATCAGTGATCACTACACAAGCCCCCCCAGAATTCAACCATGGACACAATCCTCGCGTCCGGGAGGAAGCACCACAGGGGCCGAGGAGGGCGGGCCATGGAACGGGCCGGGCCGTCGGAAGGGGGCCGCAGGAGAGGATAGGGGCCCCAACGAGGGCGAGGGCATCCCCACCAGAGGGTTGGGGGCGGGCCGGAACGGGCCGTCGTCAGGGGGCCGCAGAAAGCAGGGTCGGCAGGGAGGAGCGCTGCCCGGCCGCAGGCGAAGGCACAGCAGCGGCGGGCACGAAGTCCTCGGGAGGAAGGAGCCGTGTCCCCGGGAGGAGGGAGCCGGGGAGAGGCCAGACGGGGCGCCGTCGAGGCGAACCGTGAGCCGCGGTTAGAGGTGAGGCCAGGCAGGGTCCCGAAGCGCGCCACCCACGGGCCGATGAAGGCATGGGCGACGTCCGAAACCGCCGAGGCGAGGGAAGCGGCGAGACGGGGTCCAGAAGCGCGCCACCCACGGGCCGAAGAAGGCGTGTGTGACGTCCGAAACCGCCGTCGAGGTGGTGAAAAAGCGAGAGGGTCCACACGAGGCCGACCAGACATGGTCGAACCTCCTCTCAGGCACCAGAAAAAACTGAAAAGGGTCGTCCTGTCCACGAACAAAAACAGGTGGGCGAAATTGTGAGAGGATCCACACGAGGCCGACCAGACGTGATCGAACCTCCTCTCCGGCACCACAAAAAACAAAAACAAAACAGTCGGATGTCGATAGCCGCTGGTAGCTGCTAGTCACCGTCAGCCGTTGCTAGCAGTCGTCGTTAGCCGTTGGTAGCAGCTAGCCGTTAGCTGTCGTGGCTAGCTGTCGTTAGCAGTCGAGGCTAGCCGGTCTCGACGGCCGGTAGTCGCTGTCGTCGTCGTCGTCCCCGGTGCCTCTGCTAGGCGGCGTGCCCACACCAGGGAAGGTGCTGCAGCGTGCAGTGGCAAGCACCTCAGGGGTAAATCGCCGGGCGGCCAGGAGGAACCGGCTAGCATCGTCGGCCAAAGCGCGGGGCTCAACACTAGCCGAGTTAGCTAGCGCAGCCCGGACATGCAGCCGCATGTCCCGAAGAACCAGCTCCACGAGGCAGAAGTCGGGTCCCTCCATACCTAGCAGGTCGTGCATCTTCTCCTCGTAGCAGGAAGGCTTGCTGCCCTCCAGCGCCGAGACGAAGCGGGAATGGCGAGCGACGTCCTCCGCCATCCCGTGGGGCGCACCGAGCCTCAGTCCGCGCGCACGAGGCAGCCACGGAGGTCTCCAAAAATCTCCGGCATTTCGAGAAAAACAAGAGTCTTTTGCCGTGTTCGGTTCAGTCTCGGAACCTTCGCGAGACTTATGTCAGGGTCACCAATGTAGTGCCGAGAGAAGGGAGTCTGAGGCGGTGCATCGAAGGTGCAAATCTCACTTTATTGAGCAGCAGAAATTGACATGCTGTCGGGTCGCAGGCTGAGATGAGAAGAGAAAGTGAAAGGGAGGACACAGTAGGTACCGTCAACATATGCGTCCGTGCGGAAACAATACCCCCAACCTGTAGTTCCATGATTGGATTATGTAACCCAGTGTATTAATCAGTGATCACTACAACTTTGACTAAAAAGCATTTTATTAATCTGGCTTTTATGTTTTATAATGCTTTGGTTTTATTGTTTATACATAGGCCTACAGTAATGGAAATAATAGCAGCAATACTAACCTCAAAATGATTAGTTCTGTATTAGAAGAGAAGATGGATATTACTCTCTAGTCTAAAGAATATATATAAAGTTACAGCTAGTTAGCTTAGTTTAGCACAAAGAGTTATGGCAGTGGAGCCGGCTACTTCCTGGAGTTTTCTCTTGGTGCCAACACAACACACACAATCCCAAAAGAAACACAACTTGTGTCAACACTTAGTATACAAGTTATACAAACAAAATATTTAAAAGTTATACAAACAAGATATGATAGTAGTGACATTAAGAGATGCTGGGCAGAATATTTTACATTTAGCCAAGCTAGCTGCTTCACCTCAGTGTAGTTATGCTAATACAAAGGTTCCTCGTGTAGTTTTAAATCTCTAGTACTGGGAGCTGTTCTGTAATCTTCAAAATGTGGAACTTTTGCTTAGACATGAAGTTTTGTACTGACTTTGTGTTTCAGTTGACGGAGTGGTGAGCTCTCTGTGGAGCAGCAGGATGGAGGAGCTGTCTAAATCCTGGGAGAGAAGAATGGCCAACAAACAGACGCTGTGCTCAGCAAAGAGGTGTGTTCACAAACCTGCACTCTCTTTTATGTTCACCAATCTATAATTACTAGTCACTATTGTGATTGTTTAAATTACTCACACATATTGACTGATAAATCTCAAAATCACGTGACTTTGAGCAACTTTGTTATTGTACTAAAGCTAATCTAAACAGGTTGACTTTTTTCTCACACTCACATTTAACACTTTAAAATAATATATTAAAGAGACAGAAATAAATATAAAAAAAGGGGACATTTGTATTTATTTTAGGGCTGTTAAAATATTTAATCGCGATTAATCGCATGATTGTCCATAGTTAATCGCGATTAATCGCAAATTAATCGCACATTTTTTATCTGTTCTATATGTACCTTAGAGGGATATTTTTCAAGTTTTTAATACTCTTATCAACATATGAGTGGACAAATATGCTTTATATGTTTGTTTATTATCATTTGAACAATGACAAATATTCTCATGAATATTAAACACAACAACCTGGAACCTCTCTCATACAATAATACAATACAAAGTGTGTGTGTGTGTGTGTGTGTGTGTGTGTGTGTGTGTGTGTGTGTGTGTGTGTGTGTGTGTGTGTGTGTGTGTGTGTGTGTGTGTGTGTGTGTGTGTGTGTGTGTGTGTGTGTGTGGGTGTGTGTGTGTGTGTGTGTGTGTGTACTTACTTTCTGAAGTGATTTACATAATGCCTGCCATCTATTTTGTACGTAATGGGAGACTTTAAGGGTTGGATGAAGCCTCAGATTTCCCTGGATGAAGTGTCTTGTTAGAGGCAATCACAGTGTTTCTGTTTTTAAATGTCCCAATCAGCACGGATCCTGAGAGAAGTGCATCATTAGGGAGGGAGACATTTAAATCACACTGTGTGTATGTTGTATTAACAATATAATAATTACTATCACTAAGTCCATATACCACCCCGTGGTGGGTGGGAGACGTCAATTGATTTACTTTCTTCCACCCCCAGCCTCTTCTGCAATTGCTGTTTACTTCCTGAACTTCTCATGGAGCCTACTTGAAAACAGTTCATCGCTGATATGAGTTGGCCTCGTAACAGTTTTACAAACAATCATTTCTATGGTTGCAGTAAGGCCAGCAAACCGTTTGATTCGAAAATTGGTACATGATAATGGGGTTCGAGTTGAGAGAAGTTGTTGACGACCAGATAGTTACAGAAGTATTCAGTTTGAACTCAGTTGATGGGTTACATTTTAGGCTAAAAGAACGTTAACTTGTTGTATTTCTACAGCCAATGGGTTCATAGATGGCCTTTCTGACAATGTGTCTTGCCTTTTTGCCCTCCTCACGGACTGTTTACCTTTATCCAACCAAAACCTGCTCAGCGTGATTGATCAATTCAATTCATTCAATACATTATATAATTGTTTGTTCCACCTCAGACACTGAGGTGGATCGTTGGAGCTATGTGCAGCTCAAGGCATATATGCTCGAACGGGAGCTGCCTGGACGCTGCAATCATGTTGTGCGCACTATCCGTGCTGAGTGTGCTGACTTTTCGTACAATGTCCCACTGTCTGGCTACCTGCATAAAGTCAAGTGCTCGGCGCAGTTGTCGGCGAAATGTCGCTCCTCTGTTTTCATTGAAACAGCTCCTTATATCCGTTAGCGCAGCTAGCTAGCACCAGATGCTAACAACAACAACAACAACAACAACAACAACACGTAAGGTGTGCCTCGCTCGCCCCACACATACACACACCCTCCCGGTCCTCCCGATGGCCAGTCCGGGCCTGCCGGTGAGCGTGGAAGTGTGGTCTGCCACAAGCGGGCGGCAGGAGCGGGGCTGTCAGCATCAGCTTGTAGATGGTATTTTAAACTTGATGCGCTCTGAAACTACGGGGCGGGCGAGGACAAAAAATATACATGCGTTAATCGCGTTAAAATAATTAGTGGCGTTAATTTTTTTTTGCGTTAACGTGTTATTAACGCGTTAACTTGACAGCCCTAATTTATTTACTTTTTAAGTTGTGCAGCAGCTGTCCCCTGTGATTCATTATTTCAAAGAATCATCATTATTTTTCCAGCCGCAGTGTATTTTGAGTCTCCCTTCACAGAGATGAAGATAAAGCGATTTGTTTTTTTGACTTTTCAATTTCCCCATCCTGTTTTTGACCATTTGAACTGATTCTTCCTCTATTTCTCCTCCAGCATGGCTAAAGGATTCATGTCACTGCTCGCATTCCTGGCCATCTTCATCGTGTCAGTGTGCGATCCCCAGGTAAATGATGCACAGACGCTCACATGCTAACAGAAGTGATGAGGAGATGAAGGGTGATGAAGATGAAGTGCTCACTGTGTTCCTTCCTCCTCTCTTCAGGGTTTTATCATCATGTTGGACAAAGTGGTCTCGTTCTCCCTGAACACTGAGGTGGGACTGTTCATCTTCATCATGCTCAGAGAGTCCAGAGAGGACAGATTCAAGTGAGGAACCCTGTCTTTTATTACGTGTTTTGCACACTTTCCTGTAGTGTGTTCTGGTTTGTGTGCATGTAAATGGTCTGCAAAAGCTCAAATCTATGTGTTCCCTCCAGAGGGGGTTTCTCTCCCACACACGAGCTGCTGTTCTTTTAAACCAGGGGTGGGGAACCTTTTTCCTCTCAAGGGCAATTTCAATTTTTTCAACATCCTCCGAGGGCCGTACAAATTATTGACCTCTGCTTAAAAATACTAAAATCACAGCCCATTCATTTGGCCTTTCTTTCATGCTGTGCAAAGAAAAAGCAACCTCTTAATCCAGATATCCTACCATGACTCGTGCATGCATGCACGTGCACGGTTGTGGCATGACCACCAAAACAGAAAGATATGGACACAAGATGTGTGCAAATGTATTTAGTTTCCTATTCATGTGAACATGATTTAAGTGGGGAGGGGGACCTAACATCCTCTAGGGGGGGCCGGGGGGCATGCTCCCCCGTGAAAAAATGTGTTTAAATATTGAAGTTAAAACCATCAATCTGGTGCACTGAGAGCAACATTAAAGGAGAGGTGTCATGCTTTTCCGGTTATTACCCGTCCCCTTGTGTGTTATGAAGGTTTTTATGCATGTAAACGGTCTGCAGAGTCAAAACCCTCAAAGTACACCCTGTAGCGAGTAAAACTCTAACACAGAAAATACCTCCCCAAAACGCCTCGTTGGAGATACGTCATTGTCCATTTGAACGAAATGGACCAATCCGTGGAGCCGTTACGTTAAGCCCCCGCTGATTGGTCCAAATTGACCAATCCACGGACTTCCTCACACACAGGTAGCTCTGCTGATTTCTCCTCCCTGGCTGCAGGCTGATAACAGACAGTTGGGATCGCGGCGAAATTCTCTCTGCAGACCCATTCTCACAGCGTTTATCAACCTTTTTCTTACTCAATATCAAGCCACACTTATTGTTTTTACTTCGGCTGTGAGTTTGTGTGTGCTCAGGATGAGTTTGGCTGTGTTTCGCTGTGTATCCTAAACAAGGAAACAACACCTCCACGGAGCTCAGCGCGATTCACAACGTCCCAACCAATCAGAGCACACAGGGAGGGTGGGGGCTGGAGCTATTGGAGCTACAACGAGCCGTTAAAGGCAGAGAGTGAAATTCAGTGAATACACGTAGTATACAGAGATGCTGTATGAGAAACCAATGTGAGTTTGGAAAATTGCACAATATAAATCTATTCTAGTATACCTCAACAATGGAATTATGATCAGTGGAAATGGCCATGACATGGGCCCTTTAAGAGATCTATGGATACATCTCTCAACATCCATATGAAACAGAACTGTAAGCAGATTTTATTTTTCTTTATGGATATTTTACAAATCACTCCCCTTTCAAACTGTATTCTTGTTTATTAATAACAACTTTTTTTTACTGTCATATAGTATTTTATACCTGTTTACTTTAGTCTCTTATTTTTTTATAACTATAATGATCATATAAAGATGTGCCTTTACCTCACTGGTTGTAGAAAAAGCTTCTTATATTCGTTAGCATAGCTAGCTAACCAGATGCTAATAACAACAAAGTTATTGACTGTATGATCAGTATGACAGATGAACAGATCGCCACTGGGCTTTCAACTAAAGACACAGCCACGCAAAAACTGCAGCATGTGTACGGCTCCTTATGGGTACTGCCATTTCTGAAGTGCCGGAGCGGCGTTCTGGTGCTCTCCGTGCCCTCCGTCTGGTGCCCTCCGTCGGCGTTCTGGTGCCCCCGTCCAGCACTACACCCCTGTCAGGCGAGACATATACCACGTGATGACACGTTAGGCTCGTGTTGTGTTCAAGGACCCTGACCTTGTCCAGGAAATACAGGCACTCGCTTTTTTAATTCTTTTGCGGTCTAGATTTCTTTAAAAAAAAAAATGTGTGTGTGTTTATAAATTACCTCGAGGGCCGTATACGGCCCGGGGGCCGGAGGTTCCCCCCCCCTGTTTTAAACTGTTATTAGATTTAGATTGCAACTGTAGGCTTGTGTAATACAAACATTGAAATACATGCAGAGGGTTGTAAAATCAAGTCAACATTTGTTTTTAAAAAGAAGATTTTTAGAAGGGTGATGTAATCATTTCCAAAACATGTTTTTAACAAATATTCGGCTTCATTCCAAACTTATAGGTGTTAAACCAAAACATGATTTTAACAAAATATATAAAAGCTCCTGCCGCACGCAAAGGGTGTTATTTATTATAAAAGAAAAAAATAGTTCATTCAGGTGAATCACCTTTATATTATTAAAGATTTAGTTCAAGGATTTCTTTTTAAGGTTAGTACAAAATCTAATTTGACAACAGACGTGTACAGTTTAATTGGAAAACTTTAACTTTTAACCTTAATTTAAGAAAATGCATTGGGAGCAGCCTTAGTTATTATTTATATAACTGTGAGAGTAATATTTCTGGTTCTGTTGATGGAAGACAAACATGCACTCAGCCATTTCAGTTTGTTAGTGTTGTTGAGTTTCATTGAGACGTCATTTATTCTTTGTGATTCCAAATATACTTTGCTGCTATCCTTTAGAAATAACTCTTCATTCTTCATTACTTTCACAATTCACCTTCTTCATTTCACTGCTCTAAACATTCGAAATGTATTGCTACAATGTTGTGGATGGTACTTTATACTTAAAATAAAAATGATTTGATGTGATGTTTAACTCTCTCCCACCCCCTCCTCCCCCCCCAGACACCTGGCGGTCCCCCTGCCGGTGGGGGAGTGTGTGTTCAGCCTCAGCTGGCTGCTGCCCACCTACTTCCTGTTTGCGGTGACCTACGACGTCCTGCAGACGGTGGCCGACTTGGCTCACTACATCGCCGTGTACAGCCACAGTCAGGACACCCCCCCACACAACGTGACAGGGGGGCTGACAGCAGCCAACGCCTCCATCCTGCTCTGAGGAGGAGGGGGGGGGGGGGGGGTGAAGTGCCAACAAATCTGAAGCTTCGCAACAAGTGCTTTTATATAATATGATACGATGTAGCCATTGTTTTGTTTTTGACGCCGTCTTTGGGGCCATACTTTGAGTTTTTGCACTTTCCCGTGGCAACTTTTCAAACATGCTTTATATATATGATGTCAAAGCACACTTGTAAATATGACATACGTTATATATCTTACACTGTAGGTTGAATTACTGGCAATGCAGAGAATAAAAAAGCATTTATTTAAATGACAATGTATGTTATAATGTTTAGTTTATTTATTATTATGAAATTATTCAATATAACTTGAAATCTACCGTTTTGAATCACGCTCATCTTCTTTTATGCTAAAGCCACATGGTACGGCTTGAATCGACATGCATTGCAGATGACACCGGCTCAGTGTAGGGAAACCGAAAGAGTTTGTCGTTTGGAGCCGTATGTAAGTTAAATCAAAAGTATTCCCAAACCTTTCTGCACAATGCACCGTTTCTATCCTGACAGTCACTGCGGATTGTTCTGTACTCCTCATGCGTTGCACACTGAGGCAGAAAGTCACAAGTTCTGCTTCAGGATTCATCATTTCTCTCTATTTATCCTCCCCACACACCCCAACATAACTTAGAAAATCTCTAACCTACAAAAGATACATCATTATTCTTTACAGCTAAATGATGTTCTTCATTCAGGCCTTATAATGTTCCGGGGCCAATCAGCTGTGAGCCCTATAGGGACCGGGAACCTGTGTTCGCCCTGACAAAACTGAAAGGTTGACTTTAATTCAATGTATTGTGTCAACAGATTACACATAATTGTATTAGCTTAGTTAAAAGCAATAATATTGTGAACATAATGTATTTATTTAAACGTAAATGCTTTTAACTAACCTAATACAGCGTACAGTGTTTTCTGTTGAATTTTCATCCAACAATATTAGGGCCCGTATACTTTTTGTCTCCTATTCACGTTATGACCGCCAGCTCTAAGGCGCTTCCACATTGCCGGTACTTCCTGGTTAAAGTGTAATTGCTATTACTTTGCATAGCGTCACCAGCTTTATCTACCTTTACTTGCCAAATAAACTGTTTTTAAGCTTTTGAATGAAGTTTTATTAAGTTATAACAGTCAGGCCAGAAAATAACTATTTATACATTTTGTGATTACTCTCACTGACTGAATGGTAGACACAGGTCTGCACTAAAAGTCTAACCATAAGGTGTTAAATAATCATTAGGAGAGCCACGAATTTGGCAATAGCTAGCTCGATAGCTAACATTCGCTAGATGGGAAGCTATGGTGAGTTAGTACACTCAGGGAGGTTTCATTTTGGAGATGCAAATCCAGATTGTTGCAACTTCCCTTTACATTAAGAAGAAGAATATTCCATTAGCTTTATGAACATACAGTGAGAGTAAAGCATGCCTCTTTAGTTTCATTGTGTCACCAGCATGAGGGACGTTCAAGCTCTCATTCAATGTTGTATTGGTCATATATTTTGTGCTTTCACGTGAATAAAACACAGATTGTCACTGACTACACCATGTTGGTTCAGCATTTGTACGCACACTCAATAAAAACACAAAACTCTTATCAAAATATATTTTATTCTGGACTTGTGTTCCACTGATCTGAGTTAAAATGATAACAGATGGATGTGATGGAAACATGGGGGAGACGCTGGCCGCCGACATGACGTTCTGCTGACAGAGAAAGGCTGTGGCACAGACCGGAGGAGTGAGATATTAGAGGCGGAAATTAAGTTAGTTTGCAGTCCAAATGTTTTTCAGAAGCACAGCTCTGGAGAAGAATTGTATGTTTTTTGGTGTCGTTAAAACCTCTGTACCTAAAGCTTAAACTTAGTCGAATTGAAGGTTAAAATCCAATTAAAATGTATGATAACTTCAACATTTCATGATGGTGTGAGATGAGTTCACTTGTTTTCAGTCAAATATCACCAGAGAATAAATATTGTTCGACTCTGCCACTGCACAGGAAACATATATTTTAGACTTCTAACAATCGGACCGGAACAAAAAACCAATTAGAAATTTCCCCTTCAAATTTGCACAGAAAAACATTTGTCTCACAAGAACAAGTGTTCTTGATCAAATAAGACACATACGAAAGTCCATATTCAACCAATGAAATGACGTCTGCTTCCAGAGCAACCCTCTTCGTGACTGTAGCGAAAATAAAAGGGGAACCAGAAAAAGTCCCTAGAGTCTTTGCTTGATTGAAAAATTACAATTTTATTCAATTTAAAGAGTAACTTTTTTTCTGAATTGTCTTCTCTGTAGGCCGTCGTTTTCCGGGACAAAACGTCCTCCCAAAAAGATCCAAGCAAAAAAGAAAAGTAAACCATTTCTTTATTAAACAGACACATTTAGTGGTAATCTGCTCCGGGACACGTGTTCCGCAGCGAGGCGCCTCAGATCCGCAGCTCAGGGTTTGCTATTTGAAATAGCATCAAAGTAACAAAACAAAACATTTAAAAATGTATAGCACATGTAAATTAACACTGCCAATAAATCATCAATTCACATTTTGTTTTCAAATCTACAAAGAAATTACAAAAATGTAACTTTAAATTTGTCTTTAAAAGAGTATAAAATGTGTGTGTCAGTAAGGAACCTCGGAGAAAAACGTGAAGCAGAACCGAGAGTGAGCGAGGGCAGAGTCCGATGCATTGAATGCACCGCTCCACATGTTTTGAATTCTTTTACGTCACATCTCGAATGTTCTCCAGCGTGAACGCAGTGTCGTTATTCCCCCACAATTTGACAAGTAGCTGTTTATAAAAAAAAGAATGTCCAAATATTGCTGGGATCTGCTTTTGAGCTTGATTCTGAAGAGCAGCCTCGTGCCGGTGAGATTCAGGCTGTCATTTTGTATTTTTGAGTGTGATGTGAAGGCAGCTCAGTCACACTGAAGCCCCCCCCCCCCCATGGATGTGCATGGTTGTGTTAATGAAACTGTTTCATGTATTTATACGAGTCTTGGAGGCAGAGCTGTTCTACTAAAACCTTCAACAGGGCAGAGCCAAGGAACACTTTTCCCAGAGTTCATAGCCACATGTGTCGAAATAGTATTCTCTATGTTCTTTTTTTGTGTTGCTTTTTTGCTGAGAACTCACACAATAAGTCACCTTTGATTGGAAAATAGAGACACTACGACTGCCACTGATGATGGTACGAAACTGTATCTGAGAATCTTTGTTTGCTGCGTTCACATGGAGATGTTCAGACTGATTTGACTTTTATTTTGACCAGCCAAAGGTATAAAACCGTTAATGTCTCCCCCTTGCTTGTAATTCATATCTGAACTTACGATGACATACACTAAAAACTGTCAGAAAACCGTCAAACGTGTCGCAAAAACAGATCACAAAGTCAGTTTTCCTGGCCATCCACAGTTAAATTCAACTTTAACTCGAAATGTAAGGCGCCAGATATTTGAAATAAAAACGAATAACCATTTGAGAGTCCTTGTTTTCACTTGTTGGCCAATTACAAACACACAGAGCAATAAAAAGTGTGTGAACGCTGCCAATCAGATGAAGAGCTGAGCTTGAGTCCAGCTCCTTTGACTCCATGTGTCTGTGTTCTTTGGCTCTACCCTCTGTCGTTTGAGAAGCTGCAAAAAGATCCTCTTTTCCCAGCATACATCAGGGTATTCCATGGTTTGAGGCCTGAATCAAATTAGGTAAGAAGGTCAGCTGGAATCCTACTGGCTGGGGATGCAACCTCCACATTCAGATGAGTGGAGGTGAGCTTCCTGTGATGTCATGAGTCCAGAGAGAAGCATCTAGATCAGAGTGCACAGAGGAGCTGTTCTTAAAGCATCTAGATGGACGTCATGTGACAGGAGGATGTACAACATGAGCTACTGCATTCCCGGTGTGGGTGTGGGTGTGTGTGTGTGTGTGTGTGTGTGTGTGTGTGTGTGTGTGTGTGTGTGTGATGTGTGTGTGTGTGTGTGTGTGTGTGTGTGTGTGTGTGTGTGTGTGTGCTTCTCCAATCCAGGTACCTCTGAGCTGACCAGCCTGTACCCCTCCCCCCGAAGATAAAAAATATAAAAACATTGAAACAAGAGATCAGAAATTTAAAAAAACTAAGTGCCGTCCTATTTTATGGTGGAGGAGTTCAATATGTCTGCACGATGAGATCCAACGAGTAACAAAGAGCAACACTTTTTTCATTGTTTTTCATTTTGATGACGATGAGCGATGGTTTAAAGATCAAAAAAAGCAAAATAGCTTCCAAATTTTGGTACATATACGGATCTGTAACTTTTTTTTTTTTGTCTATCAGTTTTTTTTCTTTTTTTCACTGCGTCCCTTCTGCATCTCTGTGAGAGTCTCTGTGAGAGAGGGGCCGTCCGTCCCCCCAGGTCCCTCCGTCTGTCCGGCTGTTCACCCCTGTCTGGACCTGCTGTGTGGGCTGCTTCCTGTTCCTGTTTCCTGCTTCCTGTCTGTCGGTGGGCGGGGCCGTGAGCGTGAGCAGTTGGCAGGGCGAGGGCAGGGACAGTCATTTGGCTATGTACACATTCATGGTCGGTCCATGGCTTCCAACAAACAGCGGCGCTATTTCCGAAGGTCTAGTACACACACCTGGGACAAGAGGACAGGGTCAGAACGTGGACAGAACTGTCAGAATAAAAGCTGCAGAGGTCCTGAGTATACTCACAGATCCGTCTGACGCGCTGGCTCCCACTTTGTCCCCTGCTGCGTTCCAGCAAACCTCAAAGATCCCCCCCGTCCCTCTGTAGCTGTGGACTAAAGCGCCCGTCTGCACACACAAGGGACAAAGAGACATGGTTTCATAGTTTCCTTATTCTTTTATTCTTTATTGCTGAACTTTGAACAACACCGTAACCCAATGGTGTACAGTTTCTAATTTCACAGGATGTCAAATTAAATAATGTACAGGAATAAAATGCTGTTTATTGTAATAATAAATAAATGTTAAGCATTCATCTGTTTACAGTTTATTGAAATTATAAAATGCATTTATTCCTTTACAGTATTTAATTTAACATTCTGTTTTAGCTCATGTTATTCTATTTGACATGTATGTCGTTTTCTTCTTACACATTTACTTGCACATTGGTCACTTTGCACTATTTTATTTCTATTATGGTTCTTTTTGCACTATTTTAATTGTTTTATTATTGTATGTCTTATATATATTCATGTTGCATTGTTGAAGGAGCCTGGGACTTCAGTTGATCCATGCCATAACAACACTGGAGCTACTGTGACAGTAAAGCCTTGACTCTGAGTCCTTTAACCTGTTGAGCCCTGAGCCTGTTTTTCAGGTCTCAGGCTCGAACATGCCATTCCCAGAACAAATGACCATATCTTCCCTTCTAAAAGGGTTACATTAATCATCTTTGTTCTCAAAGTAATGATAAACCTGGGAGTTGGATGTAGAAGAGTCAGAATCAATATAGATTGTTTTATTTTAAAGTAAATTCAGATTGAACATGGTAAAAAAAAAAATGTAAATTATAGTGTCCGTCCAAAAATAACACATAACTTCTAGTGAAAACCACCCTTGAATGATGGGATAGTAGACTGAAAGCTTTAGGAATCCAAACTATAACATATAATAATAATTGTTAGAGAGATTTAGAAAAAAAAAACACTTCTGGGGTCATTTTCCATATCTCTGGCCCCCCTTGTTCGATTTTGATGATTGACACCTCTTTTGAACCGTTAGAGCCAATAGAATCGAGGGGAAGTTCCTAAAATCCATCTAAACATTACCCATTGGAGAATGAGTGCTGCGCAGCCAGAATGCCCCGGAACCGCCGGAAGCTGCGATACACTCTGGTGGCTATCATTAGCAGCTAATATGAAAACTCCGTTATTAAAATAAATATGAAGATGGATTATCAGTAATCATTTCAAAGTGACACAGACACATTGGATGAACCTTCAGCAGCGTTTTTATCGTTTTAATGCCATTGAACACAACTTTTGATCAGAACACAGCAACGGTAAGACTTATTTTCTGATTTGGTCCCGTAAAGCTAATTTTGTTGTTGTTTGTTGTCATTTCGCCGCGAGTTCTGATCGCTCAGTGGTGATACGAATACCTGTAGAATCTGTGGAATCTCAGCTTGCTAGTCGATATCTTGTTTGTGCAGATACGATAAGTAATAAGGTTATTTTAACGTGAGTTCTGTGCTAAGTGTGTTCTTAGCTCAGGGTTCATTTAGACGCTTCTTGTGAGACTTGTGTTTTGTTTCGCTAAAAATGGTTCATATCATCAGTTAGCTGAGTTTCTTCCCGTTAAATCGGGTATGACACATTCATAGGTTTTTAAATGTTAAGAAGCCCTGAGACACAGTTTTGTCAGAGATGTATCATTGAAGAAAAGAAACTGCTGGTGGAGCATTAAAGTATTTATTTTTCTATCCAGTGGTTACAAAAACATGTAACAACAAATGATTTTGTAACCACTGGATTAGATTTTTGCATTTTATCCATGGTATTTATTTTGGTTTTAATGCTTTTTTTTTCAAATTGGATTTCCATGTTATGTTATAAGTCCTTTTAGGTTTTATTTAGTGTTAATATTTGCAGGTTCCTCTACGTAAAGCTGCATATTTGGCTGTATAAATGAATAACAAGTTAAACATGTAGTGTTAAAGATTCAAAAGAGAGGGATCAGTAAATAACTCGTCCACATGGTGAAAGTATAATGCTGGCTCTTTAATGACTAAGTGTCCATCTATAGAAGTGTTAAGTGCATCTTGTAAGAAGGAACCTGTTAAAGGGCTGTCACTATTGAGCCTTATTTGCTCCGTCATGCAGTGGAAGTGTGTCATGTTTGCCCGAACAGAGGGATGTCTCTATAGAAACACCTTCCTCCAGTAGCTGCAGACAGACCCAAAGATAACGTTCCCCTGACGTTTAATAAAAATGCATTTATGCTGTTGAAGCTGCACAGCTGGCCTCATCCTCTGTACCTGTGTATTCCAGATGTGCACACATTTGTCGAAGGAGCCGCTGGCCAGGTGGCGCCCGTCGGGGCTGAAGGCCACGCTGTAGACGGGCTCCTGGTGCTTGGTCAGCGTGTGGATGCAGATCCCCCGCTCCACGTCCCAGAGACGGACCGTGGAGTCAAACGATGCACTGTGGACACACGAGGGGGGGGGGAAGAGGTCAGGACACGCTTTCAAAAATGTGGACTAATAAAACAATTGCGGTTTTAGATCTCTGGGTTTAACTGAGACATTTGGATTATCTGCAATATTGCAATAAAAGAATGTAAAAAGTGTTCCAGATGTAGCTCGATGGGTACGTCCATCAGATGTGTGCCATTAATGATACAAATCATGTAAATGTAATATCATAATAAGGAGTTTTAAAAGCTCTCATTGCAAACACAGAGAGTGGGGGAAATTAGTATGGTTAGCATTTTCAAATGTGTATGCATTTGTATTAGATGTTTACATAGTGTTTACGGTGATAGACATAAACAACTGGGTGTTATCAGTACACTGACCCCTGACTGTATACTTCTTTTTTTACTCTTTACCCCCGTTGAACCTTTTTTTCTCCAATATTTTATTAAAAAAGGCACAATTTAATCAAATATAAAAAATAATAATAATAATAATAATAACTCAATTGAAATGTAGATAACAATGTATCTAATGCTTTCAGTAAAGCAGGCAGGGGGCTGGCTGAATAACTGCTGTGTGAGTGGCTAACTAGCATAGCATTCTGATGCTGTGACTCTCACCTGGCTAGCATGAGGTTAGCGCTGGGGTTGTTGGTTCCAGGCCCGGTTGGACTCCATTTGATGGTGTAGATCTCTTTACTGTGGGCCTGCAGGTCATGGACACACGCGTCCTGCTTCATACTCCAGATCTGCAGGAGAAGAAGAAACATTCATAAATGTATCCAAAACTCAAATTGATCATTAAATGACATCTGTTTTAACACGCAGAAGAACATTTATTTATCAAAAAGTGGGACCAGGGAAGAAACTTTAAACAGGAAAAAAAATGGTTGTTCTTGTGTAATGAAGAAGTTTAGCATATCATATATAAAACTGGAGAAGCTGAGTCTTCAGTTACTCATATGAAATGCTTTAGTCACATATCGACAGGCAATCATTTGCACCCCATTACTCATTTTGACGTGAATGTGGGTAGTGTTTGAAACACATACATAGGAAATGATAAAAGAAAGAAAGAAATGTCCCAACGAGGCTAATGCTTCACGCTGTGCATCGTGTAGTGCTGTTTAACTCTGCAGAGAATTCAAATCCACATGTACTGTAATTAAGTTGATTTATAGCTCATTGTAAAACCACTAACTCTGACATCTGAACAGACGTGTTGAAGAGCAGGGGAGATGGATGCCCTTTCCAGAATCCCCAGTCATCATGAACACATCATTACACATCATTACTTTCTTTATGACTCAGCACTCTGAGGTCACAGGAAGAAGCTGCTGCAGACACCAGATGTCCAATATTTCACCGTGGCATCAGAGCTCACCTTCAACGTCATGTCGTCTGAGCAGGAGGCCAGCAGGTTCCCTGTGGGGTCCCACTTGATTGCATTTACTTCATTCTGGAGGGAGAAGAGAGTTTGTTTGAGATGTGTGTGTGTGTGTGTGTGTGTCTGTTTCTCCAGGGACACCATCAGAAATGAAGACGTTTAAAAAAAGATATCAGTAATTTATGCTAACTTTAGATCCAATGTAATGCTAATAATATCATCAAAACAGTATGTAGATCAAATACTCAACACTTAAAGGAGAGGTGTCATGCTTTTCCGGTTATTACCCGTCCCCTTGTGTGTTGTGAAGGTTTTTATGCATGTAAACGGTGTGCAGAGTCAAAACCCTCAAAGTACACCCTGTAGCGAGTAAAACTCTAACACAGAAAATACCTCCCCAAAACGCCTCGTTGGAGATACGTCACTGCCCATTTGATTCTTCCGGGTAAGGCATGACGTCATGCCGTACCCGGAACGAAATAGACCAATCCGTGGAGCCGTTACGTTACGTCCGCGGAGCCGTTACGCTAAGCCCCCGCTGATTGGTCCAAATTGACCAATCCATGGACTTCCTCACACACACATCTGTGTGCAGGGAGCAGCTCTGCTGATTTCTCCTCCCTGGCTGCAGGCTGATAACAGACAGTTGGGATCGCGGCGAAATTCTCTCTGCAGATCCATTCTCTCTGCAGACCCATTCTCTCTGCAGACCCATTCTCACAGCGTTTATCAACCTTTTTCTTACTCAATATCAAGCCACACTTATTGTTTTTACTTCGGCTGTGAGTTTGTGTGTGCTCAGGATGAGTTTGGCTGTGTTTCGCTATGTATCCTAAACAAGGAAACAACACCTCCACGGAGCTCAGCGCGATTCACAACGTCCCGACCAATCAGAGCACACTGTGCTCACAGGGAGGGTGGGGGCTGGAGCTATTGGAGCTACAATGAGCCGTTAAAGGCAGAGAGTGAAATTCAGTGAATACACGTAGTATACAGAGATGCTGTATGAGAAACCAATGTGAGTTTGGAAAATTGCACAATATAAATCTATTCTAGTATACCTCAACAATGGAATTATGATCAGTGGAAATGGCCATGACACCTCTCCTTTAAAAAACTGAAACGTTGATTTTAATTAAATGTATTATGTCAACAGATTTCACATACTTTCATAAGATTAGTTGTGGTATTTTTTTATTCAAACGTAATATTATGGCTTTCAACTAACCTAATGACCTTTCATAGGATGCACATGAGTATTAAATATACATATCACACACACACACACACACAGCACTCACTGTGTGTCCCTGGAATGTTTTGATGGGCCTGTCCTGTCCCAGTTTACACACGTGGATGCACATGTCTGTGCTGCAGGAGGCAAACGTGTTGTTGCTCTGCCAGTCCACGTCGAGTGCCGGAGCTGTGAGGGCGAGTTAAGAGACACACGTGAGAGAGATCCAAACACAGCGGGAACATTGTGAGTGACAGGAAGTGAGGCTGCTGTACCTGAGTGGAAGGGAAACTGTTGTTTGGCTTCTCCTGTGTGGGCATCCCATATGATTGTTGTCTGGCAGGACACATGCACATGTTCAGTTAGAGCTAACAGGGACTACACAGCACACACATGAGAAATAAGGCTGCAGGTTAATTATTTACTGAACACTTCCTGCTTTACCTTGTCTACTCCTGCACTCAGGATAAAATTGCCTTTTTTATTCCACTTTAGGGCGAAGATGGGACCTTTGTGCTGGCCCAGTGTGCTGGCCAGGTTCCCTGTGGAGCAAGACAGGAGGGGGAGGAAACAGTTAGTATCATCAGAAAAAAAGAAGTCCCTCCCCATAGGCCGAGGAGCATGAGGTGGAGAGTTGTGATTATAAATATTGTTACAGTGACATTATGAAAACTGCTGGTACTTTGACAATGCTTATCCGGTGGCAGAGGGATAGTACTGGTTTTCAGTTTTTTTGGCTGCATAGTTTATTATAGACTTATTATTTGAACTGACAACATTACAAAAAAAATCAGCCTCACCATAATGTATTCAATATGCACTTACACATCCAAAATGATCAAACTAACTGAAAAGGCAAAAGTGTCCCAAGGGTTAATGGTCTACTCTAAATTAAACGTCAGACGTTGGTGGCAATATGCAAACCTGCCTTTAGGTGGCAGCATTGCTCAATAAACAGAGCCATGAAGCACACAGGCTGTAGTCCATCAGTGCACATCGTACACTTAACTCTTGATATAACATATTCCCCCGAATGTATGCTTTTGCTCGTTTTTCTGAGATAATGGTGATTAAATGAAGTCAGCTCACCATCCTTCGTCCATATTCTGGCAAAGCCGTCATACGAGCCTGTCGCTAGCAGTGTGCCTTCGCTCTGCAGACAGAGAAACAGAGAAGTTAAAGAGTGTGTCAGAGAGTGTGTGTGTGTGTGAGTTATTTGATTACAGCTGTCTGAACTGTGTTTTACAGTTGCAGAATCAGCCTTACTGAGTCCAGGCTGAAAGAATGTAAGGAGAGGTCTGTGCTTTCCAGGAAGCGTTGGTCTCTGCCCTTGGCTCAGGTTTACAATCCACTGGCTGAACCAAAGGAAAATTCCTCTCTGACGATCTCCCGCTGTTAGAGCTTATCATCAGTAACGTACAGGGAGCTTTGGGAGTCCCTATGGGAGGGGGCTTTGGGTGCAATTTGCCTTTCTGATGCGTACAGGAGTGTACGTGCAGACAGCATTTTCTGTCTTTATATCTCCTTAGTGTTCAAATGTTTAACATAAGTATAAATAAATAAGTAAAAAGGCATACATTATGGCTTTGAAGCAGCATGACAACATGAAATCGCACAACAACAAAAAACACTTCTGCCATTATTGCAACTGCACCCCCGCATGGTGAGCCACATGTTACATGGTGTGTGTCAGCGTGCTTACATTCCAGTCTAGCGAGGTGACGTCTTTGTTGCTGGGGACGTCCTGCCCCCCCTCTCGTATGCAGTGTCTCAGCACCAGCTGTGTGGAGCTGCTCGTACTGTTCTCACTCAGGTTCCAGATACGAGCCGTCGAGTCCCCAGACCTGACACACACACACAATTCAGCATAAACCATGTTGAAAATGTAAATATCACACTGAAGTTGGGCACAGGCTAAAATCATCATCACAATGTCAATAACAAATCTTTTAACATGATTTACAGAAAAATCAAACAGATGTTTCTCAAAGTCAACAGTGTTCCACTAGTATGCGTTACTTTAACAAACTTCAAATTATACAAAAGTAGCTCCTTTTATTAGCTGAGTTCAGAGTCCTACACTTAGATGACTGCGTTAAACTCTAAATGATCATATTATGGCACCAGGATTCACTGAAATCTTGTTAGTTAACAGCAAATAAACTCAAGAGCCTTTGCAGCATCACATCCTGTGCTGTATAACAAAGGCAGAGAAAGGAACTAGCTGCTGTTGCCTCATACAGAGTGAGCGTGCAGTGTCAGAGAAGAGGTGACTCACCCTGAAGCCAGCAGGTCGCTGACGGGGTTCCAGGCACAGATGAAGACTTCTGACTCGTGGCCCCTCAAGACCATGGCCTTGTTCTGAGGGATCTCTACGTCTCCGTCCACCTCCATCAGGTCTGCATGGTTATCTAAGCACACGGCAAGGCAGGAATGTTTCAAAAACACATCAAACCAAGGTGAAAACACATTGGCCATCACTCGCCACATCCCTTATCTCTTTGTAAACATATCACTCACTAGCTAAGGCATGGGCTCCGTTCTCCTCCCCGTTGGCAGTATTCTCTCCGTTCTTGGCGTTGCCGGCGATGCTGCCTCCGGTGGCCGAGGTCGGGGCTGAAGCGGCCGCCTGCTGCTGCGCCATTTTATCTCTGTAGGCCTGCTGCCGCGTCTGAACAACGTCCGGCATCACTGCGTCAATCAGAGACAGAGACTCTATGGGCCGCCCGTCAAATAATGTGCCATCCTAAAGAGAGGAGGAATAAACAGTTAGGGAGGAGAAGAGGAGAGAGCCGAGGGGAAAGACGAGTCGCAAGAGGAGGAGACAAGGAATTAAGGAGAGAGAAGAAGAGAAGAGAGGGAGGCGAAGGAGAGAAAAGGTGACAAAAATGTAATACGGTGAGAAGAAGAGAAGAGACAAGAAAAGGAGGAAGGAAAAATATGAGAATAGAGGGAAGGATACATGGATAGGAGAAGATAAATGATGGGAGAGGGGAAGGGGCAAGGAAAGTAGACACGAGGACAGGAGAAAGGGACCGTATAAGAGACAAGGTAGGAAGAGCAAAGAGAGAAGGAGAGGAAGAGAGGTAAGGAGATTGTAGGGGGGAGGACACAAGGAGAGAAACGACAACAAAGGGAAAGCACATAAGGAAAGAAGAAGAGGAGACGAAATGGGAGGGAAGAAGACAAGGAGACGAGAAGGGAGAGGAAATGGGAAAGGATGGGAGAAGAGGAGATAAAGAGAGGGGATAAGGAATGTAGAGAGGAGTGGAGTGTTTCCGTGTTGTTGTTGTTGTTGTTGTGTCCCACCTCGTTGATGCTGACTTCAGCCTCCACGTACTGCAGGCCCTTCTGGATGATGCTGATCAGGGCAGCAGGGGGCACCAGAGCTCCATTGATGTTGGACTGGCTGATGTGACTCTCTATACCGAACGTGAACGCTGAGTGGGAGAACCCTGGAGAGGAGAGCAGGTATTTCATCTCATACTGTACAAAACAGTAAATAGCATTTCCTTCATGATTTATTTAGGGACTATATCTTACGTTTCCTCCACTGCCATCTTGATCCTTGCACACGAGTGCTACTAACCCTTTTCTCTATTCATACTCGCCCACATGTTTCTTTCAGAGGTGTTTCTTTTCTTGATAACTCCCCCCATCATAGACTTTACAGTGTTAATGAAACAGTGGTGTAAGAACTTCTCAGATCCTATACTTAAGTAAAAGTAGTCTAATAATACTGTTAAAAGTAAAGGTCCTGCATTCAAAATATTTATTCAGTAAAAGTACAAAAGTATACAAAATATACTTTAAGTACCAAATGTCAAATGACTCACTATCCAGTGGTCATTTTCAGAAAATAAAAAAGAATTAGTGACGCATTAATGTGTCTCTAATTTTAATTGTTCAGTGTTTAAAGATGGCATAACATGAATCCCTTTTTATACTGCAAGGCATTTCTCTCCATAGCAGTACAGTATAGTGTATCAGTTGATTTATTATGTTATGAATAATATAAACCTGCAAAAGTAATTAGTAACTATTGTTGTTAAATACAATGTAGTGAGTAAAACATGCAATATTTGCTTCCAAAATGCAGTGGAGTAGAAGTATAAATTAGCATAACATATGACTTTATAGCAGGGGTGTCAAACTCAATTTCATCACGGGCCACATTCGCATTATGGTTGCACTCAAAGGGCCGGTTGTAACTTTAAGACTATATAAAAATACATATATAAATATTTAATATATATCAAATAATGTATTATATTACATCATTGCCTCTGCATTGGATTATAATCGGATAGGGTAATAACTTCATAATTAACTCGGTCTGAAAGCAGAAGTCTAGGGCAAATAATTGCAAGTCTCTTCAGTGAGAATGTCACAAAATGATTTTAAAAGACATTTTGAAAAAAAAAGTAACATTTTGAAAAAGAAATCAATTCTGAGAAAAGGGCAAATTCTGAGAAAAAGGGCATATTTAGAAGAAAAAAAGTCAAATTTGAGAAAAAAGTCAAATTTGAGATGCATTGTGCTCCATGTATGGGCAACGTGCTTCTGTAAATCGCCATGTAACCGTATAACAAACATATTATATTCTTTGCAAGCTCTTGTGGGGCCACATAAAATGAAGTTGCGGGCCGGATTTGGCCCCCCGGGCCTTGAGTTTGACACCCCTGCTTTATAGGGTCTGAATAGGCCAACATTTTGCCAGCTCAGTAGCCTTTTGGGACGCTTACCACTGGACGTGTACATGTGAATCATTCTCATGGTGTCTGCTGTATTATTACACATGACAGCTGAAGCCTTTGTCCATATAAAAACACATAGTAATCGTGTACAGTATTTATGTGTCAATTAAAATATGTTCAATAGACAAACAGGATCTGTGTGTTAAATGTAAAGGATCAAAAGGCCTGTCATTATTTTACGCACCACTTCTGTGTTTCAATAAAAGATGAAACAAGAATGTAAACGTGACGGAATGTTTTTGATTTATGTTAGCCACCTGTGCCAAAAGTATATGATATGAGGCGTGGGACGTTAAGTTTCACACGGTAAACTTTCATTGACACACATGTGAGAGTGTACTCTGCACTGATACAGGGTTACAAAGCGCAGCGCAGTGGATGAAAGGTCAGTGTCACAAAGGTTAGGAAGCCGGCATTTATTAGTGATCAGTGAAACATTTTAAAGACTCTTTAACTAAGAGGTTTCCCTCTGTCAGAAAAGCACCACCAATAATACAAATGTTTACTCCCAATGTGCAGGTCAGTGTTTGGCATTACAGCCTTTAGCACAGTTCTTAGTGTAAATACAGTCTATACATTTAGGATTGATTTAGAAGTGGATAACCCCCCCCCCCCCCCCCCCCACTGTATCCCACTGTACACACACTGCAGACAGACAGTGAGTGTGTGTGGTGCTGTTCTCTCTTCAATCTAAATGTTCCTTTCATACACGCAGCTGACCCACACACAACCACCCAGTTCCCTAACAAGCTAACATGCAACTTGTTGAAATAATCTAACAGAGACAGGCGTTTCTCTCATGTGTGGAGTTATGCAGGGGAACGATATATACAGATACTATATCAGAAAAAAATGTTAGAAAATATATGAAATAGTACTGCTAGAAAAACATTTATTTAGCTTTAAATTAAAAAAAAAAAAAAAAAATCATATTCCCAGCAGATTATCTTTACTGTTTTGTTGTTGTTTTTTGCTACACAATACACTTTTAAAGACAAGAATGGCTTCTCATCACTTTGGTGAAACTTTGACCAAATGTTAGTTTACCATAGGTCAAAGCAAGTTCATATTGTTCTTTAAAAACAAATGGGACCTGACAGTGAGGCAATGTTTTTACACATATCTACTCTTGGACTTTCATAACTCATTCAAGTTTTAGGATGGGTTTGATTTTTGATGTTTTTCTAATCAAAAGCCTTGAAAAGAGTTGTTTGACCACTCAGAGCCACCGTTCATGCAAACAGCATCAAGCCAGCACAGAGCACTCTTGGACAAACACAGTGAAGAACACAGGGATGCGTAACTGCGTGAAGGTGATGGCAGCTGTGGCAGAACAGCTTGGAATTGGGATATGATTGCTAAACATAGATGATGTGCTACATGTAGCTTAATTATAGCTTTTAGCTAATGTCATTCAGTTTTTAGCGATGAGATCGGCGCTATCTGTTGCACTCATGTTATTAATTCAGTTGCTAGCAGGCTTGACTTTCAATAGAACGCAAACTTATTGATTTAATCTCATATGGAAAATCTTCTTAACAAATATGATCATAACATGCAGATGCAGAACACAAGTTTCTGGGGTAATCACTCTAATGCTTGGTGATGATTTTGACCTTCAATCATCTCAAATGATGTGCGACAAGGTATCAAAGCCAACACTTCATTTAGAAATAATGGAAATCAGAATGACATTGGATGTAACATCTGATTAGTAAGAAAGCCAAGCACTAATGAAAGTTGTTTAATAATTAATCAGCAACATGTAATGACATTTTAGGACTGATTATGATAAGTACCTGACTCCTGTAGGTATCTGTAGACCAGGAAGTTGACCTCATCACTGCTAATGCTCATCTTTACTCCTGTTACACCATGAGGTCAGCACGCACACACAGCCTGGAACAGAGAGAGATTCAGTCAGTCAGTAACACTGCTCAACGCACAAAACACATACAATACATGTGACTGCCAATAGGACAGTTCAAATGCGTCTGTATCTCAGAGCAGCACCTAAAATGACGCATATTAAAAATATATACATATCTTCAGATAATTCAAATGTAATTTCATTACAAAAAATATTGCAGTTATGTGTAGTTAAGGTTTACTTTCTAGGTAGGTTGTTCTTCTGAAAGGTGTGTAGATATAAAAAAAAGTCAGCAAGAAAATAATTGTTTTGGACAATCAATCACAGATATTATTTTAAATCAGATAATTAACCAATTAGGTCGCAATCCATCAACTAAACAAATAAAAGGGGTGAGAAATCAGCAGGAAGGTAACACTTCCTGTGGTATAACCCTTTGTAAGACATTGCTTTGTCTGTGTTTTCATGAGGTAAAACGGTTGAGAACTTTAAAACCTCACTGAGCCAGAGAGCTGATCCCAAATAAGGACCAGCTCATTATTCTCCCCTGAGTATAATCAGCCATGTAATGCCTGGAGCTCAGTGTCTGCAGCCCCCTAACCCCCCCCTCCCAAAAGGAGACTTTCTGTGCATTTAATGGCATTTAAGTGGATGAAGCACTCTCATGGGTACTCTCATACACTCTAGCTTACATTTCACTTCCCAGGATGTTAGACTTTCTTGGTCTGGCCAAGCAAAACATTTAGCATGACCTTGTGACCTCTGGCCTTTGCAGAATGTCTAACCCATGAGGGCAGGGGGGGGTGTCACAAGCATTTCCTGTTCAACAGACTGTGACACGGTGATGCTATCATCGTAGACGCTGTAATCTATTGGAGCAACAACAGCTCCACGCTGGAGCTTGAGCTGGAGCCGGTTACATCAGCTCCACAGAGAGTATCGGAGCCCCGGCTGAGCTGTTTGGGGACATGTCCCTGACCCAGGAGACAGCAGGAGGAGAGCGCATGTTGTTCTCCGCCATGTTGGTTCAGCACTTATCTGTGTCTTGCTAAGACACTGCCTGGCACAGTCAACTGTCCCGCCCCTTTTCCAGTGAAAAACTCAAATTGGCACCAAGTGGAAAATATTGTTGTCATGCCTAAAAGCTGCTACGTCGTGTTTTGCAAATCAAACAACAAAAAAGATCAAAATCCAGATTGATTTACTTTTTGTCCGAAAAAAGCAGAGAAAGAAAAGATCTGTGGCTTCAGGCCTCCACAGAGGGAGGCAAAGTATAACCAACGTGTACGTCTGTACAATGAGCTTAATTCAAAATAAACATTTGCAGTGTCAAAAGTTGAAGTATTTTATGTAGATTCTTCATTAAAATATAAAAACATTACAAGCCAAGAAAAGCCCTGTATACGCTTTTGCCTGCTGTCTGCTCCTGTCCACCGACAGACTGTCAGGACATCGATCCCCTACTCATTTGAATGAAACCATATATTGACGGCTATAATGGAGCTCTATTGACATTATGTAATTGTTAGCCTGGCTGGCTACCGTAACTTGGGCTTCTTGCAGATAAAAAATACACAGTTTAACGAAAAATTCTGAATTTGTATTTACCGCCAGTCAAATGACAGTGAATGTTTTCACCCAAAAAGGGGCATGACATAGAGGGAAAGTACCCAGATGGGTTTCTCTCATGTAAACAGCAAGAAGACAAAAGAATACAAACAACTGCAGAGGAAGATTTCAGGACAGGACTAACTTAATCAAATTAAGAAACACCACTGAAAAAGAAGCTAAGTGCTAATCGGCTACATTTGTTGATGTTGAAATGAAAGACAGGCATTGCAGACATACTGTGCTTTATATTAGACCTTTTATTAAACACAGTCCGGTTGCTTTCACTTTCAATTTAACAGTGTCATACTACGAACAGTCGAACACTGCTCAATTTAAAGACATGCCTACGTTTAGTAACTGTGTTTATGACAGCCACCAATGAAAATACCTCCGCACGAAGTCAAATCAACGGTCTATAATGGCGCGTTTCCACTACAGCCCGCAGCCCGGTTTAAGAGGGCTGTGACGTCAGCGGCCCGTCTTTGGTTGCGTTTCCACTTGGCCTAGTACCGGCCGGCGGGTCCTAATTCACAGTTTTTCTGGCCTCATAAAATCGTGGGGCCAGGGCCAGAGGCAACAAGGCTGAGTCGGGCTGAGTATGCTAAACTAGAGAGAGCATCGCTGGCAAGGGGGCTACAACTACAACAAGATGGACATATTTGACCGTGATTTAATTGTAATACACGTTTCAAAATGATGCCGAAGTAACAACATACTGATACCGGTTAGTAAAAACCATGAATTAATGCTTTGTCAAGTCTGCAGACAGACGGCAGGCGAAAAACCTTTTAAAATGCTTGTTTTCTAAATGGAGATTAGATGGCTAAGCTAACGCAGTATATGCCCCGACCGTCCACACTCACAACAACGGCCTATACAGACATAAATAAAGCAGCGACTGTATTCGCCATGACACAGGCAGTCTGTGCTTTGTACTTGTTTAACTTTTGTCTAGTTTCTGAACATATATGAGGAGCTGTGAGCTCTGAGTGCTAACAGCTAACGGCTGTGTTGTTTTTCTGGGGTCCTCTGAAGATCACGTCACGGCTCCGCCTACACTGCGTTACTATTAGGGATGTCCCGATCCGATCACGTGATCGGGGATCGGAGCCGATCACGTGATTTTCACGTGATCGGGGATCGGGAGAAAAAAATCGGGGATCGGAATCTTTTTTTTTTTTTTTATAAAATATTTTTATACATTTTATTTAATGTTACAAAACAAAAATGACCATGTTCACGTCTTAAAGTCATCCTGAGGCCTTAGTTTTGGGTTAAAATTACACAACATCATGTATGTGTTGCTTCTTTTGGGCTTGTTTTCATAGACCTGGTTGCTTATTTCTCTCAAATCTGGCAACAGAGTGGGCGCAGTGTCTAATAGTAGCAGTAAGCTAACAAGAGGCTACGTTCAGCTGGTGACTCGGGAGTCGGGACAGAGAAAATGTCAGGAGTTTGGAAGTATTATAAAATTGAAAGCGAAGGCAGTGTAACAGCCAGATGCAATGTTTGCAAGGCGGAGGTTCCGCGTGGTGGAAAGAACAGAGCTACGTTCAACATGACCAATCTAATACAAACACCACCAACAACAACACGATGAGTACACAGCGGCCACTCAGGTAACGGCACTGAAACAACCGACACTTTCAGAGACTTTTAAAAGGAAAGAGAAACTACCCCAGAACAGTGAAAAGGCCAAAAAAATAACAGCCAAGATAGCTGAATTCATCGCGTTGGATGACCAGCCGTTATCTGTTACCTTTTTTTTCCTCTTAATGCATTGCATAAAGATCGGATCGGGAAAAATCGGTATCGGCAGATTGTCAAAATCAAATGATCGGAATCGGATCGGGAGCAAAAAAAGGTGATCGGGACATCCCTAGTTACTATAGATACTGCCCCAGTTCCTAAACTGTAATGGAAATGCGCCATAAAGTGAGCCAGTCCTAACGAGGCCCAGCCATACCGAGCGGGGCCGAGCGAGGCCGTGTAGTGGAAACGCGACATAAATGTGTTCCGGACGCAGGTACTCGCTACTGAAAATGACAATAATACCACTATACAGCGGATGCAGGGAGAGATTGTATTTACCACAATAACTTGATCCAAACCGCATAGTATAATATCACTGTATGTGGCAAAAAAAAAAAAAAAAAAAAAAAATATCCTAAGGAGACAAAACAAGGTGCAAGCTCACATTCTCCCTGACAGACCGCCCACCTCTATGTATGCGTCTACCTAATAGAGGCTTCAGATAACTGGCTCAAAGGTAGGCAAGATCAATACACGGCAGTACAGTGCCTGTAGCTTATTACAGGCATAAATCAACCAATAAATGTACAACTGGGTACTGTGATTTAAAGCAACTGCATACACACTACACTGACATGCAACTTTGAGGCTCATTGATTTACAGCCACAGCTGCAGGGTGCACAGTAGTGAGTGTAGCAGCATGCAGTGTAAACTGCCAACATGCCTTTTCATTCTACAACTTGGGATACAGATGGAGGGTTTTTAGATCTTGTTGTTTCTTGTGTCTTGTGTTTCAGGTTCGTACAAAATATATATGCATGTGTTGCCTCTACTGTGACATGTTTCCATGCTTTCATTTCCAAAAAGCTCTTTATTTGTCTCTTACTACCTGTGCTGCAGCACCTCTTGGCACCCTCTGTCTGAAACCAGAGCCCAATATAAGCCGGGGTGTTACAGTGGTGTCCCTATGTTATAGAAGTAAACAAAGGAGTCCATTGGAGGCGTTTCAGGCAGGGAAAGGGGACACCCCAAAAAACACAATAGGGCCTCTTTAAAACGAGCAAACGCATTGATAAGTGATAAGAATAATACAGTTGATTCCCATTGCCTTGCCAAAAACGAATTAAGTGATTGTCTCATGAAAGAAAATGCTCTTGTCTTAAGAACAATATTAATAGAGGCTGAATGTAAGACGTGGTGAGAAACATTTCCTATAATAAATGATATTGATTTGTTTATGATATGCGTTAAGACTACACATAGGCTTTAGAGAATTGAGGAAATTATATAATCGACAAACTTAAAACCAAGATGGGAGTCTGAGTAGAAGCCTGCTGTGTGTTTGCCTGAAACCTGCAGACTGTTGAGTCACAGATCAGAGCCCCTCTGCTCAGATCCCCTCTGACAGCAGCAGTGCCCTGGAGGAGCATCACTGTGTAAACAGAGCGCTGTAGTTCCCTCCTCCACCATCCCACTGCAGTGGCGCTGTGGAGCCACCATCTGCAGCGAGAGCCTCTGTGTTTACAGTGTGGGAGAGCAGGGGGGGGGATGGGAGAGGAGAAGGGATTCTGTCTCTGCATTTCTTCCCTCTCTTTCTCTCCCCTTGTGACTGCTCCCGGTGGCAAACTGGCCTTTACAGTAGATCTCAAATCAGCTCAACCAGGA